CGCCATCGGCCTCGGCATATGAGGGCGACTTTCTATCGCTCCATCCTGCCCTCCCTTCCTCTACATGTAACTTTTTCCTTTTTTTCCTCTTTTTTTTTCTCTCCTTTTTCTTCTTCTTCTTTTCGTCACACACTGAGCAGCCAACCACAGATCGGAGGGATGCATCGACCCTTGCATCAACGACCAAATTGACGTGGCCAATTTAGCCAAGTCACCCGACATGCGGGTGCGAGCGGGAACCATAAGGTGCAGCAAGTATAGCCAACTGTCTTGTCAGACCTAAGCGAAAGTACATGTCGAGAGGGCCCGATGATGGAAGCCGGAAAAGGGATTCCCAAGGGTCCTGCCTTGTTACGCCACCAACGTGTGTGGGAGCACCGGTAGCTACATGTAAGTCTTGCGAGTCGTCGAGGAACGCTTTTCACCCGTGCCACCATTCTCCGTGTGGACGCCCATTGATCAACCTAAGCTGTGCCTGAGTATGCTGGCGCTTTTTCTTAACGAGACACCACTGTGGTTCAACCTCTCACAGTCTTCAATGGTAGGGCCATTTGAAATTCGGTCTCTCCCTCCCCCGAAATCCCAGGCTCGCCCGAGAGGGCTGATTGAAATGCCACCGGACGTCGCATCATCCCATGCAGCCCCAAAGTGGTCAAAAGGAGGGGGAAAAGTAAAGAGAGTCGTGGCTTCCTCGTTCAAGGTCTCGCCACCGTGAGTCTGGCGGATGCTTCTTCCCAGCCCCTTTCGAGACTTGTCCTCGAGGCTGAGAGTTCATGAAGATCAATCAAGAGGGTACGAGCAGGTGTGCGGAAAAAGCAGTGCCCCAAGCAGGGAAAAGAGCAAAGAAATATGTCTATGGGGAAAATCCCTTTCCCCATCCGCCTCCACACGCTTGCTAATCAAGTTGAACATCGAACGTCGAGGGGAGATATCGGGGGTTTCCATTCGTTACTTGTCGACACGACGCCGTAAAGTGCTTGCATCTGGGCGGCGCCCTCTTTGTTTCCAGATCGTTATTACCGACATAGGCAATGGAGCGCGCATAGAGCATACCTCTCCGTCCGTTCGTGAATCTCCTTCAGTCTAGAGGGGGATAAAAAGAAAGCGGATACATGGAAAGAAAGAAAATGGGGGACAACTTACCCCCAGGTAGACCAGCCTAGCAGACACCTCGGTGTTTCCTCCCACTTCTCTCAGTCTGAATCTGACCAATTCCCCTACCCTTGAGCGGAGCCTCTATCTGCTTTAGACCCTCACCTATTATGAGGTTGAACTTCTTCGTACAGGGCTCCCTACATCAAAGGCCAGCTCTTTAGACTCGTCGTTCCGCAATTGCAGCCTTTTCGCTAGACTAATGTCTACATATAGTGTACCATGCCTGACCTTTTTTCATCCCCGTGCTCTCTACATGTAATATTAGGGATGACTCGCGGCGAAATTAGACTGAAGGAGCGGGATGCCATGTTTCTTACGAGCGCTCCTTCGATCTCCTGCGCCATCGAGATCAGGTCGAAATTTCACCTGTAAAGTGGGTGTCTTCAACACTCCAGCTCCACTTGCAAATATTGAAACGCGTATTTTTGTCTCATCGAACGCAACACAAGGAATTTGATTCAGCCTTCCACGATCAATGGAAACCCTTCATTGTTTTGATGGATGAGAGCGGATGGTTACAATGGATGTGCTGACGTTGATATTGACATCCATTGATGAGAACGATCTCGAACATTGACCCTCTACTACATGTACTTGTATAAAATAATAGCGAAAGGTCCAAAATAGAAATGACCTTCACAGGGCAGTTATCAAGTTCAATACTTGCGGGCCGTACTGGTTGATATATAAATTCACTATAATTGATTTGTACCTGCAGTATCGTTCACACCTCGTACTCTTGTTTGACTGATCCATAACATCCAATCCATATGTCATTGATGGGTACATGTAGCTTCAATTCAGTCACTACATGTCCATCCATCGATCCAGACACCTTTGCACATCACGACCATTCCAACATTAAACTATCTCCCTACGCAACCCCTCTTCGCCATGTTGCTTGGCTTCAACGTCTCTTCGGATAGCATTTGTAAAACAAAAGGATCATGACGCGGAAAAGAAAGTTACGGCTCCGTTCCGCTCCCCTCGGATGTCCTTCCCGTGTCTTCAAGTCCCTTGTCCTCGCTCAACGTTTGCAAGGATGATGTTTTCCTGGAACTCGATCTCCCTCAGGAAGGAAGGGATGGAGATCGTAGATGACTTGAGCTTCGCTTGTAGATTTTCTGGTACGGGTGGGAGTCACCGCTTGCTCCCCCAAGTCTCAGTTGAGAGACATTTCTTCTACAGAAATCTCCCAGGTTCAAGGACAAGTACTGTTTTCGGTTCATCTCATTCATCTTCTCGATCTGCCTCGTCTCTCTGTGCGTCAGAGGAAAGGACTGAAGAGAAAAGGTGAGAGAGAAGAAAACATTGAGATATCTCGAACAGAGACTCTCCTAGTTTCGGGGGGGTTGGAGAGCACGGCTTGAAGGTCGCGACAGAACACATTGAGATCCATGAATGACGAACAGGTTGAACTCCGGTAGCCTGATCCACTCCCTCTTCTGTTGCAATTAGCTCACGATCGTCGTGTTCTTTCCCTCTTCTTCTTCTTCTTCCCCTTGATTTCAGTCTTCATGGCCGCATCCGCTAGTTGTGAACATTCCTTAGAGCCCCCGCTAAGAGCTGGACCCCGTCGGTCATCCATGCTCTCGCATGTTTAGTCCTGTCTTGCACCGTGAATTCCGTGTTTCCCCAACATCCCGCTTCTTCTTTGAAGGGAAGAGACACGAGATGTTGTCTCCTTGAAGTATTCGGGCTGAAAACTCCACGTGCTCGCCGCCGCTGTAAAGATGCTCAAGCATCGCCCCTTTCAGGCTCAAAACTCCTCTTAGCGGTTTTGTGGAATCATTAGCTCTGCTTTTGAATCAATGCCGTGTATATTCGGATATATGTGCTAGTCCTCCATCACAAAGATTGATGAAAAGAAGACTGCCAAAGAAAAGAAGAAGCCAAAAAGAACGAAGCAAGAGAGAACGAATGGCAGACTTGGCAGGGGCGAGGTTAAGAAAAAGAACAAGACAGAAAAGAACCCTAAATTTTTTTTTTTTTTTATAAAATAGGATAAAAGGCAGAGCTCTGTGACACCAGTAAGTTGTTGCGGGCTGAGCAGCGCAAAGGTGGGTGAAAAGGCTACGAGCGAAAGGGGAAGAAAGATCCACCCATCCAGATCAATTGATGGACGTCGGTGCCATTGGAACTCTCGCCTTTGCCGGAGTCTGTCTCTTGTCCCTTGCAGCCGCCTGCATCGACTGGCTCCGCCAATGGTTCCCTCCCGCCCGCTCCGTGTCCAACGTCCAACCCTCTGTCCCCTCCTTTCGGCCAACCCCCTGTTCACTGGTTCCAGCGAAGCAAGGTTACACTCTCAACATAGGGCATTGAGCACTTGAGGGCTCTGGAAAGCCAAAGGAAGAAGAGTTTTCCTTTCCCCCTTCTCCGTCCCACCGCTTCCCCTCTTCACACGTGTTCATCCAACAGAGATCAATTGACATCTCACTTTGCCAGGTTCACACATATCTAGCCTGACCAGGGTTCAACTGGTGCCATTTGGGAGGGGAGTTGCTGCTACTCGTTTAGCGTCCTCGTCATGAACCGGATCGGTATTTTGGTCTTCAAGAATACCGAACAAGAGGGGAGTGGGTTGACCCGGAGTAGGGAACAGGGCAGAGGGAAGATGGAAGGGGGTGGGGGTTTCCATCAATGTTGAGGGGAGGGGAGCTGACATTGGGCATCTACCTCGGAACGACTACTATCTAATACTATATACACCATTTGGAGGGTAGACGTCTTGTTGTCGTGCTTTGCTTCAATGAGTACTACCCAGCAGCAAACAGTAAACCATGGCAACGTTGATGTGTTGGAAGGTCTTGGTAGTGAAATAAGGCAATAAGGACAGAAGATGGAGAAGAGAAAAGAGAAGAAATGGATAGATAAATTTTCAGATGATAGCCACAGGAGGCAACATTCCCTTTGCGTCTTTTTGGGGAGCGAGGGTATTTCTCTTGCGATATGCACTGTCTGCTTTTCCAAGCCCCAGACTTCCCTTCAGTCTTTGCTTTGGATTCGTCTAAACAATTCAAGAAATGCAACATTATCGCGCCTTTATAAGTCTCACTGGACTTGGTCGCCCGATGGGAAGGGCATGGAATCACAACCGCCCCTCACCCGCCGAACCAGGGTTCTGGCCTCCCTCGCAGGGTAGCAGCACGTTTGAAGACGTGGCCCGCCCGTGCTATCGATCCACCAGCATTGATGTAGTGGCCTGCCCTATCCTTGGGCTAAGTCTGACCGAGACATCAACCCCGAATGCCGTCTTCCTCCTTTCTTCCTTTCTTCTTTCTTTCGACGCAAGGGCTACATACCACTCTCTCTCTCTTCTCAGGCGTCTCCTGAAAGGGGAGGTGATACGAGAGGAGGGAAAGGTGCGGCAATATAGGACCATCCTCCCAAACCCCTAAATGCCGTATATACATGTACGGCTTTGTAAATTGACAAAGGGGACAGCAAAGTGATGAAGGAAACAACACTTTGGCTGGGAAAATGTAAGAAAAGAGAGAGAGAGAGATGGAGCAAGTAAAGAGGTGAGAAGAGGGTGGGAGAATCAATAGGATCTAATCGCTTGTTCGGGGCTAACCAATTCTTGCCGCATCTCCATCCCTGGTATTCCTGTGCTACACCTCCTCGTCTTCCCAGTCCTTCTCCTCAAACATTGGGCCCTTGCGTGCCCCGCTCACCTCCAGCTTGGACAGGAATTCGGGGGAACCGTGGGGATATACTTTCTCTCCCTCTCACGGTTCATGCCTCCGAAACCGGCCCCGTAGCTCACTAGCATGTCCGTCACCGACGGTAGGGTGAACGGCAGCATCAGCGCCGGATCCAGGAGAAGGAGCTCCTGCGGCTCGTCATCACTGTCCTCCTCGAACCCGGCTATGTTGTCGGACGGCCTGTCCCCAGCCCCAGCCCCCGGCCCCCGCTTCGGATGGTGGCGCCAGTGTCTGCTGTCCGTTAGACGCCTTGGTCGGCGTCGGTGGCGCACTGCTCCCCGGAGGTCGGCTGCGGCGCTTCTCGCGCTGTAGCGCATGCTCCGCCTGTATAGCTTCCAAGTATTTGATAGCACTTTTGGGCAGGCCCTTCTCTCCCACCTCAGGCCGGTAGCGCCGGGCCGCGTGGAGGAGCTGCTGCGGCGTAAGTCGCTTGAGTTGTTGCAGCGTGCCCACCAGGGCCTCGAGGTCGTCCGCGCCGAGCGAGGAGAAACACTGCAGCCACTGCAGGAGCTGAATGACGGGTTCCAGGTGCCGCCTCGCTGACTCCATTGTCGGCTCGCCTGACGCCTTGATGTCACCCCCTCGTAGTGCTCGGGCTGCCGGTTGTTGGTGCGCGCCCAGTCCTCTAGAATAGAGATGTTCATACGGATCTGCATAGCTTTCGTCCGAGCCAAGTATTTCCGATTCGACATGACGCGGTTGAAGAGCTCTGCGCCGAGCCAATATACGAGCTGCGACACGATTTGGGCCGTGATTACGGAGTGAATGTCGTAGAGGTCCAGCACAAAGAGTGTCGAGGAGAGGAGCGATGTGACATTGCGCGGCGCCGGCTTCGCCCGCTGCTTGGGGAAGGCGGGCGGAACCGCTTTTCAATGGGCTCCTCCTTGACCTGGGCTTTCCGCTTGAAGATCTTCCACTCGTTTTGAAATGTAATGTCCTCGAAGCCCGGTATCGTCTCATGATCCAGCATCGCCACGTCTAGAACCTTGTCCATGCGCCTCTCAGCGTCCCGGACGATAAGTATGAAGATCTCGTTGATCAGTTCCGCCAGCTGTGCCTGGAACTCTGCCGTGGCCTCGACGAGTCCCACATCCTTCTTCAAGTAGTGTAGCAGTAACGTAGCGTTAGACATCCAGAAGGCGAGAATCGTCATGTCCCACTGGTATGTTTCCACCACATCGTTGATCTTATCCATGGCTGTCACCAAAAACTTCTCGAGAAGCTCCGGGCTAGCGTGGTAATGCGCATATCGTGCGGAAAGAAACATCATGTTGGCGGGAACGGGCTTCTGCGAAGGTGAGCGCTGAGGGGTCATCTTGGTGATGACAATATCCAAGATGGCATCTAATTCTGATTCTTGAAAGACAAACATTTGATCGTGAGTGCACCGTGTCCAGTCAAACTCTTGTTGCTCTTCTTCAAACTCGTCGACGGGCTATGCAATACGTTAGATAAAAGTCTTGTGCAAAAGGATCGTGGTCGAAGGTGCCGAGGTTAAAAAGAAGCTTGGGTGCCCAGTAATCGTGAGCCGGAAATTGTGGCAGGCACTCACCTCAGGCTGGTCATCCATTCCCACATTTCCCAAGTCCACCTCCAGATCGCGAGCACTGTCCATCATTAACCGGGTGCGCATCTCTTGCGCCGCCATTTCCTCTTCAAAACGGTCTTGGGAGAACCCCGGTTGGTAAAGTCGTCTGTCACGCCAGCGGTTCCGAGGTTATACCCGCTATCGTGAAGATAGTAGGACATATCGCTATCAGGGGTACGAAATCAATGGCGGTCCGGCCCGTGGACGTCTTTTGCTCGGCAGAGGCGCCGTGGTCGAGAAGCATCTTTGCGATGCTCTTGTGGCGATTCGTCATCGCCCACATTAGGGCGGTCCACTGGTTACGGTCTTGCTTATCGACGTCGGCGCCAGCATCAACCAGGGCTTGGACTACACTCTCATGGCCCTAGAGTAGCGATATTGGTCAGCGATTCCGGAAGCGGGAATGTATCTAGGAAAGACCCTCGCGAAAATGAAAAAATGAAAACCGCAAGTAACAGAGGACAGAGCATAGAGCGGAACCAAAGGGCAAGGAAACGTGGTAAACATACAAAGCAACTGGCGTAGATCAGAGCCGGCGTTCCGTCCTCATCGGGGCCGTTGATATCCACAAAATCCCGCGCCTTGCCCCCGAGTATTTTTGTATCCTCTCCACATCGCCGTTGCTCGCAGCCATGTTTAAGGACTTTTGCAGCATCTCCCTCTTCTTTTCATCGGGGACCTTTTCGTCGGCGGCAATGGTATCTTCGTCACCAAAGCCTGGATCGGCAGAGTGCGCCGCCTGAGCGGCCAGCATCTCCATTAGCCTCGCCTCGTTACTTATGGGACTGCGTAGGTCGTCATCGATGTAGTTCCTATCGTCCAGGGACAGGTCGCCAAAGTCCAAAGGTTTCGCTAGCATAGGTGAAGTAAGGAATTGTGATTGTCCTAAAAGAGGTCAAGAAAATGTGCAAGGAGCACACGTCGTTGTTAGCATCCCATTTGCTGATCTCAGAGCAACCTGAACCTTCGACCCCCTCTATTCGTCTTGAAACAGGCGTTCCGCTTGCCGGTGCCACCTGTCCGGACGAGAAAAGAGGAGGGGAGCAGTCAAACGCACCTTGCCACCCGTCATACATCTCTGTTTCGGGCATCAGCTCGGTCCGTACTATCCTCCGGTCATTGAGCGACTTGGGCAAGTCGTCCGGGAGGGTGACTGATTTCTTCCCGCCACCGTCTCCGCCGCCATCGAGAGCACCCAGATCCATGGTTGGAATTAGGGGCAAAGAGAGGGGGGGGAGATGGAGGAGGGGAGGAGTAATTCGTGGTTGGAAGCTCCTCTTTCAAGACATGAGGCTTCGTGGTCTCGGGTTTGGCGGGGTGCCGATTTGACGGATGGGTTCCGTTCGCTGGCCGGGTTTCCCCCTTTTACACTGTCTGGACGCCTAATTCAGAGTCGCCAGAGGCGTCTCGAGTTTGGCTCTCTGTTTCCCCTGAGTTCTGTGGTAGCTGCTGTACTCTATGCGTGGAAGAGAGGTGGTGAGCTTGATCGTCGGGCAATATTACGGTCGCGTGGGGTGCGCCGTCAGGCCAAAGTGTCGCAGTTGTGGTGGTAGGTGTGTGGTGTGTGTCGTGGTGGCAAAGCCCATCAATCACTCAAATCAATTAGTTTGCAGTGATCATTTTGAGGTACATAGGAAAAGACCACTGGAGGAAGCAACGACATCACTATTATTCCCACGGAGAATGGTGGAGTGTTCAGCCACAGAATTTGGTGGATCTATTGTGGCTTGGGGCCAAGAGGAGGGGTACCGTGTTCCCACAAAAAAGTCGCGCTAACGAATGAGGTGCCTGAGAACATTCAGTTGTTAGCTTGGCTCACGAGCTCGAGAACATCCACCTTCGATGTAATAAGCAAAACCCCAAGGAAGCATACTCCTGCCCAACTTGGATCCTCTGCCAGCCACAGTTCACCCCGCCGATGGGTTAGCTCTAACAATACACAACAATACTAATAGATCTATCGGGTCTACCTCTCAACTTCAAAGTGTGAATGTGGAACCCTAGAGGATTCTTAGCTGCTCCAGAATAGAGGAATAGCTGGACGATCTCAAAGGGTCTTGATTATTCGAGATTGTGGATATATTGTTTTCATTCTCTTTTTTTCTTTATAGATCAACTAGATGTTATTTAAGGCACTAGAGCAAAGATGCCTCCCTCCTTATGCCAATTTTGGGAGCCCACTATAGTCTCTGTCCTGTGATGGGTATTCTATGACTTGATTTCCCTTGTTCCGTAGACTCGTAGCCTCTTCACCCCACCATCAGGAATGATGACGAGCTTTACGTGCGTGACAGCTCCGGAGACGACGCCCTGCAGCACCTCAAACTCGTGTTCCACATCCGGGCCGCATTTGGCCGGCTCCAATATGGTTTCCCATGCCGCTTCGGGCCCAGGCTCCGAGGCGTGGTCCCAGCTGATGGCCTCGATCCGCACGGCAGGGAAAGTTGCCTCTAAAGTGCGCCGTGTCGACAACGACCTTCTGCACGAAGCCCGGGGCACCAAGTCGGACCACCACCCAGTCGGTGTGCCCCTTTGTTCGGGACCGCGCCGTCTCCCACCCGTCACCCATGTCCTTGCCTCTCCCGGGAAGCAGCAGGTTGTCCTTCTTACTAAAGTGCTGGTCGCTACAGGAGACAGCGACCGCGCCGTTCTGAGCCGCCGCGAGATCAATGACGGCGGCGGGGTCCTCGGGGAACACAGGGACGGCATCGCCGTAAACGCGGAACCGGGCAATGCCGCCGTCCGGGTACATGTTGAGTCTCACGTGCGTGTACTGCTTGCCCGTGGGGTTGAGGAGCTTCCAGCCAAACCGTTCCGAGGGCCCACATTCCTGGAACCCCAGAATCGTCTCCCACTTCCCTCTGTTACTCTTCCAAGATACCACCTCGTCGTCGTCCTGGCTGAAGCACCCTTCCACCGAGATGGCAGGGGCGTGGTTTCCCGAGAAGAAGGCAGTGTCCACCTCAATGCCTTGCACCGTCCCCGAGGCGACTCCGAGGCGGATTATAACCCAGTCAAAGGTCTCTGGGTTGTGCCGCCTCGTCTCCCACCCGTCGTACCAGGCTCCGGTGTAAACCATCTTGCCCGGTTGCCTGATTGGCGGCGTGGGAGTGAGGAGGTTAGCGGCTTCGGCGAACCACTGGTCGGAATAGGCGAGCACCTTTCCTCCGATGGCTGTGGACGCAAGCTCTATTCACGGGGAACAGGGCCGAGCAAAGATTGGCCGTGGGGTCAGCGAAATTCTAGTTCGGCAGGGCTTTCCGAAGAACCGGGGGTATCAGGACCCGATGGAAAGGAGACAAGGCAAAAGGGGAGGCTTGAGGGGCGATTTTTATCAGCATAGGGTACCTACCGGTACAATGTGATCGAAAGGTGTTATCAATGTCGCTTGCCGCCACGCGGATGACATCGACATTGTCAAGCGTGTAGGAGATGTCGTCTAGTACAGACATGTTGACTTGGGTTCGCGTACGCTACGCAAGGCAAGAGTTCGCGGACAAAATGTGGTACCAAAAACCCCTTGAAAAAGTAGGAAAAGCTTGGAGGAAAAGTCCAAAGTATGATTGCACAGGAGTTGGCGAGGCAGGCAGAACAGGTTGATGATTAGTTTTGCGTTAAGGAGCTAGGATATGTGATACCACAAAGATTATAGTCATCCGGCAAGGAATGAAGAAGAGAGGGGATGAAGTCCTGAGGGCGGAAAGGGGGAGAGTTGGGCATATGAATGCTCCGAGAATGTGTGGGCTTCCCAGGCCCGCATGGCCAACGCCGACAGTCCATCGGCCGATGCCGACAGTACCCTCTGGGCCGAACACGCTTCAGGAGGACTTGGGTGGAGGTGGTGATAAGGTCTGGGGCTCACTGCACCTCCCAAGGTGGGCCTTCCACGGGCGCTAGTCCGTGGACGGCGACAGTTGCCTGCCATTGCTAAGCCGATTGTTGGTGAGAGCAGAGATAGCGGCTATATGTACATAGATATTGATCAAATTGGTGCCCGGGATTAGCTAATAAGCGTTGCCGGAGCCCAAAAAGCAGCCAATCTGCAACCGAGCTGGGGAGCAAGCGGTTGCTACCGGGGTAATGTAATGCCCATGGATCCAACATTAGAACATCGAAACCAGAAGAGGCTTGAGCTGCTACCGACTCCGGTCGGGTTTTCAGTCCTTTGCAGCGAGCCCAACCGGGACATCTCCTGTGCTGTGTGCCCTGCCGCCAAGCCCTCTCAGCGAACGAAGGAGATATCGGCTCCAATCAGGTGGGTCCTCACTCCGATAGATGCATCGGGAATTTTCTTTTTCAGGGTCCGATCTCGTATTAATGCAATGGCGAACCAACTCCCCTCACAGAGATCCCATTTTCCCTCCACCCCAGCACTCTTGACTGTATAATTAGACGTGTTATTCAGTCTTCACATATTACTCGTCCTCCAACTTCGATTCTCTTTTTCTCTCTTGCTCTCTCCCCATCTCACCATGTTTTCCTCTTTTCGAAACACTGCCGCACAAAAGGGTAGATCACGAGATGCATAGGCGGTGCCAGCTCTCCACCCTGGGAAGAGAGAGGAGATGGACGTCAACGACCTAAATGACCATGCTTTCACACGTCTTCACCCCTAGATAATTTCCACACTCTCTCTATTGTCCGCGGCCCTTGCGTGGATTCAATGCACCCCGTTCTCTCGCAAGTACCAAAATATATTCATCATCGACCTTGTCCCGATAAACCAGCGGCAGAGAGGTTGACAGATTGTTTACATACTCTCAAGCTACAGTAATAGCCGCGGGAGGGGAAAGGACCCCCATAAGTTATTGATGACTAGAAGAGAGCTGGAGATCTTAAGCCGGGACTCCGGGGACTTCAAGTTCCTGTTGATTCTCACATGCAACTTTTACCCGGAATAAAATCATTCCAATTGATCCACCCATTGTCTCGCGGTGTGATGTGTGCTGAATGAATTGATGCTGCAGAGAGAAACAGTGGCTGATTCAGCCAACGAGAGGAAATGTGGTGCTCGATGCAGATTACAGGTGCCGCGTGCGCCCTCCAGCGCGGCCTCGGTGATGATCCCCTGCATTCTTGGGCCACTCAGGGGTGGCGAATTGTCAGCGCCGCCGTTTTTGTGCCACCCCTCCTGCCGTAGGCCAATTGAATCAAGCCCGCCAGGATGGGTGACGAACCTGGAGAATTGCGTCAACTAACCAAGACTCAATCCTGATCTTCTTTTCTTTTTCTTTTCGCACACTACCCTCCTCGGATAGGAGCTTGGAGCTTCTGGGAAGCTAGTGCCGAGGAAAAATCTCCACGGGCTACAACAACACCCACACTGCCCTCCCCTCCCCCTCCATCATTGCTTCCCAACCGCAGACCCCATCCTGCAATGCCTCAAGCTGCCGAGCAATTGAGCGTTAGACGATAGCGAAGCTAACAGAGCTTATTCATTGGATACAATCCCTATCGATACGTTAGCTTTCGTTCACTCCCTATTTCTAGTTTTTCAAGTGCTTTTTTTCTTTCCAATCCCGCAGCTCCCGAAGAGCCTCCCGCATACGGGTTCCGTCACCAGTGTTTCTTTGGAACGGAACTGGGAGTTGAGTAAGCTCCCTCAATAGTTCAGATCCCGAAGAGCTCGGGCCTTCTCCATATGGTTCAAGTTGTACGGAAAGGACAGGGTGCTAACCAGACCATAGTTTTCGTCCTTCTTTCGCATACGAGAAGGGTGCTCAGAAAGTGTACAAAAACCCCATTGTCCCCTTTTGTTGAACAGATGCCGTCCCCAGAGCTTCCGCAGGATCATCCTGCGCAAGAACCGGAAATGGAACCCCTTCTCGGAGAACCAAGGGCTGCCGGCGCACTTCAGCGTGAGGACTCTCCGATGCTCGCCAACCTTTATATTGGTATGCGCCCACTCCAACGTGCTGTTCCAAACTCTTTTCTCGCGTTTCTCTCGTCTCCCGAAACCCCAACATGGGTAGCTTACAAGGCCTTGCCCGGTTTAACCTCCGTCTAAGACTGTGAAGGGCGCTAACTAGGGACCTCTAATTCCCTTTTCTAGGTACCGGTATCCTAGCCCAGCTCGGGGCCATTATACTCTTCTCCGTGATTTGGGTGCACATACTCCGCCGTGACTGGGTTATCTTCTCTGGCCACCCCATCGCCATGTCGCTGGCGCTCTTGGCCATTATCCAGTCTATCCTGATCCTTCAACCCACCCATACTCCCGGCCAGAAGCGCGCCGGCCAACGCGTCCACGCTATTCTTCACCTCGTCTCATTCATCTCCCTCCTCTCTGGAATTGTCATTATCGAGTACAACAAGCATGTCAACAACTTGGCCCATTTCCACTCTGCGCACGCCTACATCGGCGCCATCACCGCCACTGTCCTCCTCCTTCAGTACGCGGTCGGCTTTACTATGTGGGCTACTCCCGGTCTCTACGGATCCGTAGACCGCGCAAAGTCCATCTGGAAATACCACAGGTGGAGCGGCTATATCTCCCTTGTGCTCCTACTCACAACGGTTCTCAGCGCCGCGCAGATCCCTTTCGTTGGGAAGATCATTGGTATCCAGTTCTGGTGGGTTTTTGGCTTGAGCGTGCTGATTCTGTCGGGAATCGTTCCCAGGATTCACTTGTGGAAGCTGTTGGGCCAGGTCCGACGCCAATAAACCTGAACTAAACCGGTACAAGCAATAGCCACCTCGAGGGTAATCTCGAGCATTGAGGGCGGGCAGCAAGGTGTTGCCAAACACCGGCGACCGTGCTCCACGTCAGCCCTGTACCAGCAGTTTACATGAAAGCAGTAAAACTGCGAAGACAACCCCGCCCATATGGTTTAAGATAGATGTCCATTGCTCAGAGCTTGTATGTGTTAGACACTAGCAACCTCTCAGGGTGTATAAGATAGGTAGAAAACGCAGGCCAGCGTAGTATATCAACAGACTTTCCATCCATCCATAACGGTACCCTCAAGGTGGGTCTCCGGGTATTAGATTTCCCGCACATGCATTGGCACCATCCAGACAATACCTCCCTAAGGACCCTAGAACTATCTCCATCTACGTTGACCTTCACAAAGTATCTATCCACATCAAGCTCTCTTCCTAGGTTTCAAGCTATAAGAGCCCTTACTCTCCAGGAAGTCTAGATGATTATCTAGAGGCCAGCTTCAGGCCCCTCCCCGCTTGGCTCAAAAGTCAATTCTCGACCTGGCTTCACGATATTCTCGCCAGCTTCGGTTTTCGCTTACCGTAGAGTCCCGCTTCTCGTACCTAGCTCCTCCTCTCAAACCAGGCAAGTTCTCTAAACAGGCGTATGACCAGGCCCGCTGCTTCCCAAAGTCGCGATCCGATCGTCTCCGGGGCCTTTACATGAATAGAGGCTATACAATGCCATTGATATAAGGTCACCAGTTAACTCCAAGCCCTCTGTCGGTCGACTGTGTCTTGCCTCAAGCAAGATCCTTATAGCCTGCCTTAAAACGTATCCCCCTTCACGTTGTATGGACTGTAAGCCAAACCATTGTGGGGCATAGGTGCTGCGGCCGAGCCATGGAGCTCAATGGTCGTGATCCTAGATGTACACAACGATCCTAAGCTTGAAAAGGAGTAAACACCTCCAGATCTCTAACTAGCGCGTCTCTTCCAGCCTTGTTGAGTAGCTAGTCTTACTCCCGAAGAATCCTCACAATAGAGATGCAACATATCACTACGACTTGAGTAATGTGCCCCAGTCGCCGACCTTTTCTCATTCTCTAAAACGTATAGTTCTATAGCAGAGAGCACCAATACGTGCGTCCACTCTACGATGCGTCTACTCTACGATGCGTCCAGTCTACGAGTGCTCACCTCTTACCACAACCACGACCCCAATTCTTACTATGGGTGAGCTCACCTAGCTCACGGTCACAGAGGCAAACTTGCCGAAATTCGTCCAGCTACCGGCTCCATCTCCCACAAGCCCACAAGGCTATACAGCCTTCATCGGCAATGAACTTCAACTAACCCACGTGTAGAATGTTCCACTCCCCAAACACAAAACATATCGCCACCTTGGTGGCGCCCCTCTTTCTAGAACCCGGGATCGTAGTCGGCCCGCCATTGACGGTTCTCGGACGTCACACCTCCCCTCAAGTAGCTTGAAGCGTGAAGAAGGAGTGGAATGCGAAAGGCTTCAAGTGTATTACAAAACGTATACATCCCCGGGCCTTGGTCTTCTCTCCCATAAGGAAAGCCACTTAGACGGAAAGAAAAGGAAATAGTAACGGCCCCACACCAGCCAAGTTGTCAGTCATCAACAGACAGCGCCCTAGTTAGCAACAGAATAAGGGATTCTAGTGTCTATTTACTCTATCCTTCCCTTTACACACGATTCCAGATATACGATGCCCATGAGTACACGCGATACGAGTGCAAGATGGAAGGAAGCAATCATACCTCGGTATATATATAATACAGGATGGAGGAGTCACCCTCCCAACCCATCCAGCTCTTTTGGTGGCGTTTGGCAATATTGATGAGGCGGGAAAGTCAAGACAGCAGGCCCACGGAGAATACGACGCCCTCCACGCAACACTCGGTACTTTACCCTGTATTAGAGTCTAGGCTTTGAGAACTCGAGGTGAGGGACATGGCAGTCCGAAACCGAAAGTCTGAAAGTCTGAAAGAGAAATCTAAGTCTTAGAAACACTCGAGCTCTGATCAACAAAACAATACACCTCTCTCATCGTATAGGCCCGACACCAAATTCTTTTACTCTTTTTTTTTATTCTTCTTCGCTTCTTCCAAGAAAATTTGGAACAGGTGTACCGAACCACTAGTGCAGGAAGGAAATAAGATGGAGCAAACAAAATCCTCAAAGCAAGCTTTTTCGGAGGTCCGCCTCACTCGGAGAATGGAGAATTCGACCCAAAGCAACATCCTTGTTATCAATCCCACCATGTCCTCTCTTTTCCACCACCCCTATTGGACAAGCCGGGAATTTGATTCACTCCCGGGAAACCTGACGTAACCGTCAACCGCGTTGGCGATGATCAACGGCTGGATGGGGCGTGAATAATTACTTCACCAGCTTGTCTGCAAGATCGCGGCGAATAGCCAGCATGAGAAAGGCGGTCTGACCTCGGTAGCAAGGTGAAGACATCACTTTCGGCCTAAACGAAACATCATATCTACAGCAACCGTATAGATGGCATCTTACTCCATGGGCCAGCTTTTGGCTGACGCTATTCCCTTTGCTTGTAAATCGTGAAAGCGGGCTCTTGGAAAACAACCTACCACTCAGCCCATACTAGTGGAGCCTTGCGTGGAGATGCCGAGAAGCAAGGATTGAACTCTGACGCTGAGCGTGCAGCATCCAAGTTCCCTATGACGCGGTGAGGCACACCGAGCGCAAGGAGTCTATAGCCGCCAAAAGCTGACGCCTCTCTTCCCCTCTATTCCTTGCGAGGCTGATAATAGCAACACTCTGGGATGTAAAGCATCCTAACCAAATCCCAAGTGCCACTTACTTCACGTCCAGGGGTTCAGGATTCCTGTTGGTGACACGTAGGTGGAAGGGGTTGAATATCGCCGATATCGAGCTTGTGCCACGAGCAAGGGCCCCGTCTTAGGCGGAAGTTTAGCTATATGTATTTGTTGATGTCAAAAGAAAGAAGGGTAGAGAAAAAAGGTAGGCCGATGCCCCGATATTCTTCGCCTTTCGCCTCCTTTAATCAGCTGAGTAAAAAAGTGCACATGGCAGGCGTTACGGTGCAGCGAATAGTGGGAAGCCAGCAAGTGTAAATTCTGAGACAAGCTTCTTACTTTCTGCAGAGCTGGTGATATCACCTCGGTCTGGCGTAGGCAAAAATAAAAGTTGGGTCTGGCTCACTGACTGGTTGTCTTCGTTTTTCCTCTTCTTCTTCTTCTTCTTTTTGTTCGCCAAGGGAAATTGTGGCGAATTAGTGGTAGGATGAGTCGCGATAAACTTAGCAAAGATCAGCGCCGGGCCGGAATGAACGGCACCGATCAATGTGTATGCTTTCTTCGATGGGGTCAGTATACCATCAAGTTGTCAAGACGAGTAAGAAACAGAGGAGATATAGGAGATGAGGGACAAGCGGCGGGAGAAGAGCCTAGGTATTTTCGAGATCCTGTTTAATCCTTATGCGAAGGAACTCTACCCTCGTAGCCGGACTACGCTAGGTCCCGATCTTCGACCTGAAGAAAACCAAAAAAGAGAGGCTGCGCTAGATCTTGCGCGAGGCGTTTGGAGGGCTAGGAAGAGAAGGTCTGCAGGCGCCGCAACGGTGGAGCAAACGCGCTGACGCAGGTGGAGGATGAACATGGCCAGGCTTCCTTTCACCTGAGCGAGCATGCTCTCTCGTCTGAATCCAGGCGGTGAAGAGAACCAGCCTGTCTCTTGCTCTTGAACTTCAGATCGATCGCTGACCCCGGATTCGTCCTTCTGTCAAAGAGCTGACCTCATGACCTCGTCGAAGGATGTGGGAGGACATTGGGGGACATGAGCCGTATTTGTGCCTGCTGCCACCGTGCCACCGGGACTGTGGTTTTGACGCGGCGGAATGTGGGCCTCGTACATTTCAGGCTGCTCCGGTTGGTTCCAAGGTGGTCCGTAGCTCTCTCGTGGAGGTAGTGTAGCCTCTAAAATCTGCACGGCATGTACCGAGGTATTATTGGCAAAACGCAGAGAGACAACAAGATTCATTGATCAAGGATCCATTTAATCGAATGGATGCAATGGATCAATTGATCCAGTAATAGTAGGAGGCAAGGGAGGTACAACACTTCGCACATTGATTGGCACATTATAACTGAGAGGCAATGCCCCGTGCGCCGTTAAACTGGGACTGATGTTGAGAAATTGATCAATGCTCTGTCGAGTCCGTATCCTGATTCGGGCTGGAAGATGACTTGGGACTATCACTTGAAATTCCGCACATTCGTTCTTCGAGGCTTACGGACGGAAGATGAGACGATCTAGACACTTTCTACCATTTTGAAAATCTCAATATCATTCTCGGGATGTGAGGGGATTGAGTCTTTATCCGAATCGACTCGTGACTGAGGAGGTGTAATATCTAGAGGATGAAAAGGAAGGTTTTGGGAAGGAGAATGGCGAAGGGGATAAAGTCTTACTCCTCTCTTGTTTTTCTTCCCCCTACTGCAGCGAGCTTGGGGCCTTTCGCCCTGCACTTTCCCTCTTCCTTACCTTGCGGTGATGTTTCTCCTTAAAATATTCCTACATGGCAAGCATGGGTCTTGAATCGACAAGTACAAATAAAGATAGTGACAAGATGGTGCGGTCGCGCAATGGGCAAGGAAGACTCTTGAGCATTGGAAGGGGCCAGGGTTAGACTAAAGGTGGCGTCGATCGAGGGGATCGCCTAGTCTAGTCGTTGGCTGCCAAACCTTGAATGACGTCACCTTGAACCTGACGCCACCTTGTGTCATCAAAGATTCTAACCGGGGTGAGAGGGGTTAAATGGTGGGCCTCCCTTCTCGTGCAGCAATGTGTGCGGAGTGTCTTGAGGCACTGTTTGACTCAAGCCATGCCATTGATGGCAAGGGCAAGTGCGCTTCTCTCACTTCACGCTACCAGGGGACCATCGTTCAGGCCTAAAAAGAAAGAAATAACAAAAGAGGAATTGCCAAAAGCTCCTCGAACGAAAGAGTTTAGACGGAGAAGGAAACAAGCAAGAAGAAATCGTCGGGCGTGGTCCGAAAAAAGCAAGCCATGTATACTGGATGGATCCCTAGTACTTCTTCTTCGTCGCCGTTGTTTTCTGGCACGCCAGGGGGAGCCCTGGCAGAAGGCCAGCGAGGCCATGATTAAACGGGAGGATTCTGTCCCATCTATTGATCTCTTTCCGTCTTGTCATCGGATATTCTCACCTGTCTCGAAAATTATTAGATGTGGGATTGGACTCTTCCTATCAACCTCTCTCGCCTACCCCATGATTGGGACTGCAAAATTATAGCCGCAGGGAAAATCGAATGGCCTCCCCATTTCCATCCTTATCGCGAGTACCCAAGAGTCAGGATACCATCCCGGGGCCTCGTTACCCAGCGCCATCTTGCAGAGAAGCCTGCACGGAGCATGTCTGGAACTGGGCATACGAGATACCTCCATGATTTGTTTGTGGAGGTATTTGTGGTTTCGGGTCTGAGGTTGCTATTGTGATTGGCTACACTCACGAAATATATTGCCAGCTCTAGCGGGTCGTTGCATGCCGTGGATCTGAAAACAAGGACAGACCGCAGCTCACTCCTGCTGGCTCTCGCAATAATAAGTGTCCTTCAAACGGAGGGCCCATCTCATGTCACAGATCCACCAATCGTCGGCCCGACGATTCTTCACCCGAACGTGTCGTATTATCTACGCAACAAAGGCAAGCCTAGTGGTCCAGGGCCGCGCGGAGACGGCGACAGCTCTTCCTCTCCAATGTCAGCTGATGATGCCTTTTGCTCGAGCGTGACAAAGCTGGGTGTTTTAAAGAGGACGGAATAAACATTAATACAGGTAAAACTCATGCGCAAGGAAGCCTACTTAGGCGATGTGAGTGGCCTCATTTTGGTGTGGCCGTGACCCCTCGCCCTAGAAACATGCCACCTGCCCACATCGGAGGCGGCGGGATTATTACCGTGCCAAAATATATCACCTTTGATATTGAATGTCCTGTTTGTTATCCTCCACGTCAATCCAAGATGCCGCGAGTTTCTAGAGCTGTGGTGGGTGCACTCGTACGTCCCTTCTATCTTCTATGCCCTTCCCAGCTGATCCCAGCCAGGGTAGTCACGAGGCTCTGGGTCCTGCAGCTAGTTGCTCGGGATTGGATCCAGAGGCCCGTCCGAGTCTGGACTCTGGACCCATCGGCCGGAGGTGGACACAAGATTCACGAGGAGCGGGGGAGGGCAAGGAAGAACGAAAAAGAAAGAAAGAAAAGAACAAAAAGGCCACGAACAAGTGGCGTTGTACTACCGCCTCTTATTCTACACTATTACTCCCTTGCTCCCTTTACGGGGTTTCTCTATGGTGGGCTCCAAAGAGTTTTGGTGCGGAAACCAATCCATGTTAAAAATCTGTTTTGCACGCCGCCGCTGTCCTTGGCAAGGTTCCAAACCAGCGACATCACTAGTAGCCGCTTTTAGGACCATCTAAGAACCCTGAACACGCTGCCTTCAACCCGTCAAGGTTTTGCACCATCAACCCAAGCCCGTTGGTGCTGCTTCCAATCGCCGGAGAAACCAGACAGAAAACCATGTCAAATGGCAGAGAGTTGCCCTTGACTTGGGAGCACCAGTACTAGTACCCCTTTCTGTCCATTATTATTCTCCCTCATATTTCGAGGGACAAGCCTTGCTCCAATACCTGACGGCTTGACCTGTCCTAGAATCTTTCATCTTGTATCACCAACCTTGATCCAACACGGTGCATGCAGGCGAGGCACTGTTAGAATCCGCACACCCTTGTTCGCCCTTGTCAATTCCAGGTTCAGAGAAAGTCTCATAGTACTACTTTATACAGTCCAATTTAGAATGAGCACTGGCTTGCCACTGACTGACTTCGCTTTGACATGTGGCCACTTACCATTTTAGGTGCTACTAGGCACTGTGCTGGAAAAAGTACTCAGTACCCAGACAGGGTGGAGAAAAGGATTGAAACTGCCTTGCAAATTTTCCTCGCGGCTACGTCATAACCTGTTTTCAGGGTCGGGCGGTAACAGGTACATGTGGTAACAAGGGCTGGGCGCGCGCGCTGTCGTGAACGGGCGAGAACCTCCATCTCTTGATCCATCAATCGTCGTAACGCGGGCCAAAGCCAGCTCCCTTTCCCACCGCAACTCTTACCAGCCAGAACCTGCCTTCTCAATCAACTTTCCTGCCCCAGGACCCTCTTACTTCCGGCACTGGCTCATCCAAGTCATTGATTACACGCCTTTACTGGTTCTCATTTCAAAGAAAAATACCATTCCGGGCTCTGCGCACTGTTTCTCGAACTCGGCGCCTTCTCATTCCAAGCCGCCCCGACACGCTATCCACTCGCCCACACACACACACACACACCCTTTTTTTTTTAGTCCTCTTCCCCAAGTTAGCAAGTACGCTGCTGTAGTGCCTAACCTCTGCCCGTGTTTGTTTCCCGTTTGTCAATACCAATCCCCAGATCCGGATCCAGGCCCAGCCGGTTGTGACGCCCGAATCTCCTTACCTCTGACCCATCCGTTTTCACCACCTTCGCCTCTTCTTAGAGCTTCATCCCGTCTATTCCTCTACATCGCATCGCATCGCATCGCATGCTCCTGTAACCTGTAGCCTCCCACCCTCTTGACAAGAAGATCACTACACGTCGCGGGTCCTGCCTTTTTCTTCCTTCGCAGCTCTCCATCAACATCACGATTACTGCAGCCCTTTTTTCCTCAAGGCCGCCAAACATTGTCAACGACATTGCTGTTGTCTGGGAGCAAAGCCATTCCTATTGCCCAAACTCCCTCGGATCTCGCATATGTAGGTAATGGTAAGGCATCAACCTTCTTCCCCGAACGTGAACAAGAAGGGATCACCGTCTACTGCCCCTCAGCGACCCCGGCGCTCGTCCAACCCAGCCTCGACATCGCTGTCCCCTCTTTCCGACCCAAAACCACCAAACGAGGAGCCGCGAAATGGAGGAAACTTGGGGCCTTTAAAGCATGGGATCTCTCGACAGAATATGCCATTGTCGCCAACCTCCCAAATCCTGGAATCGATCCACGGTCTTCCTGTGTCCCCCTCTGCTCACACCGCGCCTGATTTCTCGTCCTCTCCATCGGGAGTCTCGAGGGACGGAGGCCAACTATCTTCGGAAAACGTAATCGGTTCGATCCTAGAATTGGGCTCGCCCCATCTCCGAGATGACGTATCCTGCACCACGACACCAGCAAAATTGCCCCTCAATAAGTCGAGCAGAACGCCAGATTCTCCCCAGGACCGAGATCCTTTGGATATGGCCGACGCCCAAGCACAGCTCGCTCAGTATCGCAAGCGCCTGGCACGAGATCTGGAAATGAGGAACGCTCTGCGAGAAGCTCGATGGCCGCCACCGGTGACAAGAAACGGGTTTCGCCGATTCAAGAAGAGACTATCGAGACTCGGGTTGAAGAACTGGCTAACCCTACCCTCACGACGACTTCCACCGAGTCTGGCAACACCATTCGAGGCGGAGTCACCCTGGTGTCGTCGCTGCAACTCCCTCCTACCCATTTCCTCGCATGCAATCCTCTCGAAAAGCGACGAATGCTGGCAAATCTTCGTCACCCGGTGCAACCTTCTCTCAATCCCCATGAGTCCGACTCGTTTCAAATTTTCTTTTCTCGAGCGCGATTTACCTGCATCTTCCAACACCTCAGCCTCTACCTTTGTCTTCAATCCCGATGGATTCGCCACCCCGAATGACTCTCATCGCAACCGTACTACTGAGTACCCAACTCCGAATCTCTTTGACCTTTCATTGATGTTGACAGCCGAACCTGGTCTCGATGCTTGGTGGGAGACGGTTGTTCAAATAATGACCCAAGTCTACAAGGCGGAAAGAGTAACCCTCTCTATCCCCGCCGATGTTACTGACATTGAGAACGTCCCTTGGGGCCAAAAGGCTACTTATAACGAGCACCAGGAGGACGGCTTCAGCTTAGGCTATATGGGGAGGAGTGTAGGGGCTCATCTGGTCTTCCAGACATGACTGATACTGGATCCGAAATGCATTCCCATCCGGAGAACGCTTCAGAAGCGCCTCCACCGCGACCGAACCTTTCAAGCCGCCATTCTTTCAACACGTTCGAGGAATCCAAAGATCGAGCCGATATCTCGGAACAGCCTGGTCGGAGGCCAGCCGGCCTGTCCCGAAGCAAAAGCTATATGCCGTCTGCTGGTCCTGCCAAACCAGACCGCCCCCACCCCGCCCTCAACCAAACGGCACTACAACAGCTAGCAGCAGCAGATGAAAATGACGCACCAGCGTGGGAGGCGACGCTGGGGCAGCGCCAAGTCACCAAAGCCCGGGTTCTTCCAGTTCTCCAGGCCTTAGATTACGAAGCCGATCCATTAATCGACCACGCCAGCGTAATGAGAGTCTTAGAACGTGGCAAGGTCATTGCCTTGACTCGTACATACCCCTATCTCCAGCCTGGCGATCCTCAAGAGCCTGCAGGACCACGCGTCGAATCAGATGCCCCGAGAAAGAAACCGGTTTCGATCCAGCCAGAGACGCCAGGACGAAGACCCGAGATCAGCTCTTCCACTAGCCACTCGTCAAAAGTCTCTTCATCGCGTGAGGGCGCTCGCCCAGGTCGGTTAAAAGCCCGATTCGAGGAAGAGCTACATCGGCCTCCCTCCCCAAGTATGAAGAATACGAGCAGGCACCACAGTCTCCTGGTCACAGTCTCCGGCCCCGTCGCCAGCTGTGCGACCCGATCCTAAAGAGAATCCCTTCTTCACGGATGCCGTAGTCGATGAAGATTCCTTCAACCCAGACACCACAACTGCCGATTACTCGTCAATATCACCACCGGAAGCGATTGGCATAGACAACTCTTCTTCTGTGCTCCACATTCCGTTGAACCATGTCCTCCTTTCTCGCATGCCTCGCCCGTTTTTTGACGCAACGCCCATCCCAGGAAGCGGGGCTTTCGGTATAAATCGGGATTCTGACGCCGGCGTACCTGGGAAAACACCGAGATGCGACCCGGATGCCGCGGGCTTTGGCGATGGCCCTCGTGTTGCCCCTCTTGCCATTTTGTCTATCCTTAGCCCCGTGATCCCTTATCCATCAAACCTCCGTCGCTCACTCGGTCATCTATCAATGCACCTCGCGACGTCATTCTCCCTCTGCCAACATCATTCCACGTTGGAGACGGAAATTGCAGGCATCAAGAGGAGACGGCCGCACCCTCCGGGTTTGGTGCCCTGGCCTCGGATGGCCGCCCTATTGCTAATGCCGCCACTTTGTCCAACATGATTCATCTGCACCCAGGAGAGCTTCCTACCCAAAGCTCTCTTGCAGGTAGCATGACGAGTCTTAGCGAATATTCGGGTGTCTCGAGAAGCGCGGTTGGTTCACCCATCGCTACTCCAGGGTTGGAGCGGGTAGAGCAAGCAACCCTAGGGATCCTTGCCGATAGGATAGATAAGACGTTGGTTACCACGAGCCCGTTGCCCGTAGTCGAAGACGGCTATTTCAGCGCGAAGCATACCCCCGTCATCGCGAGAAGCGACTACTCTTCCTCTAGCACAGGACGTAAGGGGAAGGGGACAGTCAGAGAAAGCACATCCCTTGAGAAGCGTCGAGCGCGAGGATCATCGGTGACGAGTGCCCAGACCCCCGATGCATCGGAAACAAGGAGCGTTTCTGATAAGCGCCGCAGTCTTGAAGATTCTGCTGGCTCATCGTCTAGCTTATCACGAGAGCGAGGAGATTCGCAAGCCTCGGACACCAGGTCGGGTGATGCGGATGTGCCAGTACTGAAGGCCGACTCGGCCTCAAGCAGAGCGTCCGAAGGCGCCTCCTCTCACCCAAAGCCATCAACTAAGCACCGCCACACAATGCTGCACACGTACGGAGCTGATTTTTCCACTACTTTTCCGTCCCTACCGCCAAGCGCTACCCTGGTCTCGAAGCCGTCTCTTCCAACGAGGAGCGGGTCGGTAATGACGAGCGTTTCGACGACTAACTCGGAGATGCCACCCCGTCTGATCGATTGAAGGGTTTAATACTCGATTCCTTGCCAGCCCATGTATTTGTAGCGCTGCCACAGAGTGGGGAAGTAGTTTGGGTCAGCAGCAGATACCTATCCTACCGCGGGTTGTCGGTCGGAGATTTGGTTGCCGATCCGTGGGGCAGCATCCATGAGGAGGATCGAGATGAATATCTGAAGGCGTGGGGCCATTGCTTGCGGACCGGCGAGCAATTTTCGCGGACGGTGCGCATTCGACGGTTTGACGGTGCCTACCGATGGTTTTATGCCAGGGCCGTAGCATCGCGGGACAAGCGTGGTGTCATACATCACTTCCTCGGATCGTACATGGATATTCACGACCAACGTCTTGCCGAAGTGAAGGCAGCGAGACAAGAGCAGATTGCGGCGTCAGAAGCCAAGCATAAGCTGCTGGCCAACCTCATCCCCCAAATCATATTTACCGCGACAGATAATTCGGGAATTACCTCGGCGAACGAGCAATGGCTCTCGTACACGGGACAGAGCTTCGAAGATAGTCTAGGCCTGGGCTTCATGGATTACGTACATCCGGAGGACCTTGCCAAATGCCGCTTCCCGTCCGATCTACCGCATTCAAGATCGCCCAAGAAGTATCCCGAGCGGAAGCCGGAAACCCCAGGCGACCCCTCTCTCTCAGCGACAACCCCGCAGCGCTCTTGCGGCACCTCTCGGGCCACGTGGACATCACAACAACCGACAACCTTCTCAACATGCATCTCAACGGCAAGGCCAATGCTGGGGCTAGCGGCAAACGAGAAGCGGAGGTTGATATGGCCGCCGAGTCACCCATCTCGGATCTAAATGGACTCGCGAGGATGGGGGTTATCAAAGTGGCTCGGGACAGCAACGGCCGACTGTCGTATACGACCGAAGTGCGGCTTCGGTCTAAGTCGGGCGAATACCGTTGGCACCTCGTTCGCTGCGTTGAGATCGACAACGTTGACTTCGGCGACGGCGCCAGTTCATACTTTGGCTCGGCCACGGATATCAACGACCACAAGCTGTTAGAGGCTAAACTAAAGGAGGCGATGGAGTCCAAGAGCAGGTTCCTTAGTAACATGTCGCACGAGATCAGGACACCACTCATAGGTATTTCCGGCATGGTCAGCTTCCTGCAGGACACGCAGCTCGACGAGGAGCAGAGGGATTACACCAACACGATTCAAACAAGCGCCAACAGCCTCCTCATGATTATCAATGACATTTTAGATCTTTCCAAGGTCGCAGCGGGTATGATGAAACTCAAATTTGAGTGGTTCCACACGCGGTCTTTGATTGAAGACGTCAATGAACTCGTTTCGACCATGGCAATTGCCAAGCGGCTGGAGCTCAATTACATTGTTGATGAGGATGTCCCCGCCTGGGTCAAAGGAGACAAGATCAGAATTCGGCAGGTTCTCCTCAATGTCATTGGCAATGCGATCAAGTTCACTACGGTGGGTGAGGTGTTTAGCCGCTGCAGGGTATACCGCGAGGCGTCGGAAAGTCCCAAGACGACGCCGCATGAACTTACGCTCGAGTTTGCCATAATTGATACGGGACGCGGGTTCACAAAAGAGGAGGCGGAACTCATCTTCAAACCGTTTAGCCAAATCGACGGCAGCAGCACGCGTCAGCATGGCGGAAGCGGATTAGGCCTCGTGATCTCGAGACAACTAGTAGAGCTCCACGGCGGCAAGATGGAGGGCAGCGCGGTACCCGGTAAAGGGTCCACGTTTACGTTTACGGCGAAATTCGGCCTGCCCACGGAAGAAGACCATCCACAGTTCCAGCCAAGCCCGGCGTCGTTGGCGGCGGACGAGTTGTCTCAGGTGGATACCGTTCCGCCGCTACCTTCCATCGGGCCTGCGCAACCCTCAAGGTCCCGTACATCGTCCCATGCTAGTCCCGACACGGTTGCCGACATGCTCTTGGCGTCGGGGCCGCTATCGAGCGGCAGCTCCAATCCGTCATCGGCCGAATCAGGTCTCTCGATGCTCTCTGGAGCTTCGTCCGTGTCGTCGATCAAAGCCGGACTTGTACGCCTCAGCGAAGCAGCCAAGGCAACCGGGCATGATTTATCACAGGTGATGCTAACTGCTCCGTTCGAGGGGACGCCTGTGGGAGTGGCGCCTGACCCGCGTCCACTCGTCTACTCCATCTTGATTGTGTGTCCTCAAACGCATAGCCGGGAGGCTACGAGCCAACACATTGCTACGACTTTGCCCAAGGATGTGCCGTATCAGATCAGGGCGCTAGATTCAACGACTGAGGCCGCAAAGGTCATCACGTCGGAGGACGGGCATCGCTTCACGCACATTGTCCTGAACCTCCCCACCGCGGAGGAGGTGATATCGCTCGTGGAGCTGACGACCAAGTCGAACCGCCAGCAAGGGGTTACAATCCTGGTGCTGTCGGATACTGTCCAACGCCAGCAGGTGATGCGACTCGCGTCGGGGACAGCATGCGAGAAGCTGCTCCGCGAGAAGCAAATCACCTTTATCTACAAGCCCGTCAAGCCATCACGGTTTGCCGTCATCTTCGACCCGGACAAGGTGCGCGACTTGAGCGTGGACCTAAACCGCTCTACAGCGCAGCAGATGGTGGAGAACCAAAGGCCAGCTACCTAGAAATTGAAAAGCGTATGGGAAACAAGGGCTACCGGGTGCTTCTAGTCGAGGATAACCCAGTCAACCAAAAGGTCCTCACCAAATATCTCAAGAAAGTGGGCGTGGGCGTGGACATTGCGACGGACGGAATGGACTGCGTTGACATGGTATTTTCGAGGCCCTACGGATACTACTCTCTCATCCTAGTAAGCAGCCATTCTTCGCTCTTCTCTTTTTTCTTCTTTCTCTTTATCGCGAGCTCTCCTCTTCCCAAAGGATCATTGTCGTAATTGCTAACCCGAAACTTCAGTGCGATCTACACATGCCTCGAAAAGACGGCTATCAAGCCTGCCGTGAAGTACGCGAGTGGGAGAAGCGGAAGGGCAAGGGGGCCACCATGCCCATCATTGCTCTGTCGGCCAACGTCATGTCAGATGTGCAAGACAAATGTCTTGCTGCCGGGTTCAGCGAATATGTTACGAAACCCGTGGACTTCATCGATCTTAGCAGGGCCATGTCCAAATTCTTTTGAGACAGTCGTGAATAGACGTGAATAGCCAATGAGCAAAGGGAGGGGTTCGAGGTTGACGGGAGAGGTCGCCTATCTCATGGGATTGAAGGGCGATGGCGGGATATAGAAACAACCACACGCAGAAACAGGGCATTGCGTGGACTGGACGTGGACGTGGACGGGGAACGGCAAGTCTCCCCGATGGGAACAGTTTTCTTGCTCATGTATTCATTCATTCTCTATTTTTTTCCTTCCCCTTTTCGGGACTCATTGGGTTGGGGCACACATCCTTGTCTTTCCTTTCTCTCCATGGAGGCGTTCTTGAGAAGAGAATTGTTTTTGCCTTGTTTCTTTCCTTATCATATTCTCTGGGATTCCCATTCGCAACAGCATCGTCGACCACCTCTTAGCCCTATATATGGGTTTCCTCCCTTCTCCCTATCGCCTTATCTGTTTTCACAGTTTCCCTCTTGAAACTCGCATCCTTATACCTATCATTTTCCTGCCTTCCCACCCTCTTCTTTAGCTTGCATTATCCTCCCTCTCTCCCCTTATCCTTTTAGCTTCTCTGTTTGCTGATTTTCATTTTGTTGTACCCTCTTCTTATACTCTTCTTAATGATGACGGGTTGGGCATGTTACAGAAAAGAACAATTCAAGAGAGATTTCAGTTTTGAATCTGGTTTGACTATTTTCTTCTCCTTTTTCGTCATTCCCTTGGGAGCAAGAGAAATCTTTGTCCTCCACTGTCTATATTTATTACTGTATATTCATTTGTCTCTGGCCTCCCCACCCCTCTCTTCAGTGTTCTTCTCTATAATCTTTCCGCTATGTTTATCTTTCTTCCTATGACAACAAAGGGGAATTACTGAGCTTGCTTAAGTTTTCATTCTTATTTTCTCTTTGCCCTTTCTCTTTCTCTTTCCTCTTCCTTTTTGTTTTCTTGTGTCTTTTTATTATCTTATTTTGTGATCTGCTGGTCTCTTCTGTATCTGATGGGAAATGATTTATATCCATGATGCATCCATACAAAATATTTGCTTCCTTTCTTTTTCATTCTTATACATACATGTAGCATGTGAATACACACACATCTCTCTTATCTATATATCATATCTACATCTTCCAAGCCATGATTTCCCACTGCAAGTGTCTGTACCTTGTCCCCCGCGCCAAGTTGGCTCACGAGCAAGGCTAATAATACCATGGACGAGACTTGAGGCGTACGTGGGTGACGGAATTGGGGACGTCTCACGCGAGATACCAAGGTTCTCATGTAGGTTCATCAGTCGGCTAGCAAGCCGGGCGGACAATTTAGTGAGCGCGATAAGTCAACATGGCTGTTTCCACAACTTACATCTATGGATGTGTTGGTATCATGACTAAAGCATCTGTGATTATCAAGCCTATCCTGAAGAAACGAGTGTATTCATTGACATTACAAGATGATACCCAAGTGATCCCCGTCCGGGAATCCTCTCCCCCACCTCCGGGCTTCCAACCCTTCACTCCAAAGGAAAATAAAATAGACAAGGGGTTGCAAAAGACCTATGCTGAGCGTTCGTGCTAAGCCCACTCTCCGTCACCCCTCACTAAGCATACCCGCGCCTCCAACTCCGTCTATGGGATATATAAAAAATAGCTGATATGCAATATACGCTCTCGCGTGCGTGCACGTGCGTGTACGAGCAATTATTGGTGGGTTACTGAACCAAAAGGAGAAAAAAGGTAAAGGGGAAAATCACCTCCGAAGGCGATGGAAGAAAAAAGGAAAGAAAAGGGAGAAAAAGGAAAAAAGGAAAAAACCACCATCTCTTGCCATCATCCCCTTCCACGATGATTCCTACATTTATTTTCCTCCTCGACTGAGCCGGGTGGTTTTTCCTCATTTGGAGCTTTCGCGTTAGTCACCACCCGTTTCGGGAAGCCGGGTCCATTTTAGATTTCTCCAAATGTGCTTAACGGTCTCCGTTTATGCGGCCTTCTTGTTGGTCTCACCCTCGATGTAGGGGTGCTTGATGGTCAGGCACCAGATGTCGAGGTAGTCGCACAAGGTGACGATGACGTCAACGACGAAGGAGCCGTAGACGCCAATGGCTGCACCGAGCATGCAGAACATGAAGGCCACCTGGTAAACGCCGTCCCCGAGGGCGCTGGGCCAGCCGAAGCCGAAGTTGGCCTGGAGGATGGGACCGAGGCTGTCGACGACGCCAAAGAGGAGCGGCAAGCCGAGGACGTTGAAGTAGGGGAACTTGAGTAGGACGAGGTGGGCGGTGATCATCTGGCCGACGGAGTAAGCGTTGACGACGCCAGCAAAGATGGCGAAGGGAACTAGATGGTTGGTGCGGATGGTGGGCTGGAGGTAGAGGTAGGTGACGACGAGGGACCAGATGGCGAAGAAGGGCCCGAGGCCGAGGAGGGCGCCTCGGGAGCGATCGCCGCGGGCGCGACGGGCGCGGATGACGTTTTGGGCCGATTCAAAAGTGTTCCAGACCAGGACGATGGTGCCCTGAACCATGTACCACTCGGTGAAGGAGAAGTTGTAGATCTTCTCGGGCAGCGGGGCAATGGCGGAGGACACGCCGAGGGTTGGGAGCATGGGCTGCTGCCAGAAGGAGGCACCACCCTTGTAGCCGGTTAGGGCGTAGACGCCGACGAGGACCAAGATGCCCTCGACGGGCCCGTTGACGATGCCGAGGGTCAAGGTCTTGGTATGGTATTCATCCCAGGTTTGGACGTAGAAAGTCTGGAGAGCTATTCGTTCGAGAAAGACGCGAGACGAAGTGGGTTAGCTTACAGTTCACGATCCAGGTTCCCGCAAAGAATGGGCATGTCGCTTGAAGAGAAAAGGGGCAAGGTTATGGGGTAAGGTGAGGGGTGGTGGGGGCTTACAGGCAAAGAGGGTGGCTACGGTGTACCAGCTCTGACCCATGTTTTGCGACCCAGCAAAGATAAGGACCTCGAGACAGGTGTTGAGGGCATCGACGCCATGATCGAACAATTCGCCGAGGGGGCCGCTTTGCTTGGTTCGTCGACTAAAACAACGCAGGGACGACGGTTAGCTTCGCGCTCTCGCTCTACAAAGCAAGGGAGGCTAATTTGCCGTGGGAAACGCGAGGAAACGCGTCGATAGAAAAGACTTACGCTTGAGCACCGTCCACGGCATCAAAGGTCTGGTAGAGGAACAAACCGACAGCCCATGAGTAGTAGACCCAGGAAGGGCAGTCCTGATCGAGCGTGGGGTTGTACCAGAGGAGGGTGAGGAAGTTGGCGACGACAAACATGAAGCCAGTGAGGGTGATGAGGTTGGGCGCCATGCTCATGGGGAAGCACTTGATGACGACATGGGTGTAAAAGGGCTTGAGAATGTACTTGGACGTCAACGACCTGTCAACGCCCGAGTACTTGTATTTTTGAGGTTGGGAAGGTAGTGGCTTCGAAGGTATGCCATTGTTGCGGTATTGCCCTCGAGGGATTGATATTTCGGACGTTGTGTCTCTTGTGTGCTTTGTTCTCGTTTTCGCGACTCCTCGGTCGGTGGGCTAGGCGTGGGCGGATTTTTTCTCCCTAACGTAGGTGGGACCGGGTTTTTAGGGCGGGAGCTGGTGAGTTTTATTGTGATGACGTCTCGCGGTCAAGCTGGCACTCGGGTATTTCCAAAAATTTTCTTGCCGTGACGTGATGCGCACAAAGGGGAGAGAGCTTCGAGCTGGTGCGGCACTAGACCCTAAACAGAGAAGGCTGCCCTGGGACTTGGACGGATTGTTAGCTTTGCGACCAAGGAGCTATCTCAACCTTGACGACGACAGAGACGTGAGACAAAGCGGGTGAACCTGAGAATTAAAATAGGGAAGCAAAAAGGGGTTATGGCAGGAGAAAAACAGAAAAAGAAAAAAAAAAAAAAGTGGTGAGACGAAGTCGGAAAAAAGGGCAAATGGGGAAATGATTTGTGAATAATCTTCGGGAATGTGGCCGAGTTATTGCAGAACAGAAAGGCGTGGCAGGAAAAAAGGGTAAGAGAAAACGATGATAGGGGAAAAGCAAAGAAAAAGAAAATGGTGACGTGAGGAGACTACTTCAGAGTGTCGACGACGATGTGCGCGGAAGGATCAACACGCGCAGTCCAAGTCAAAACTTACTCTTTTCAACGTGCAGTTCCGTCTTTCTCGGCTGCAGAGATGCAACTCGGGTTAGCCGGTGGCTTGCAGGAAGAGAATTTCGCCGTTTATACCGAGGTATTGCGATGAAGAACGCGGAGGGTGAAGAGAAGAAGAAGAAAGAAGGGGACAAAAGGAAAGAAAAAAAAGTTCAGACGAGGGCGAACGCGTGCATGAAAGAAGGGAAATTTCGCATGGGGTCGGGCTCGGGAAGCAAGGAGCAGGGTAAGGGGGACGGGATGGTTGTGCGCGAGAGGGAGGGAGCTTGTTTAATGACGATCTGGCCAAGATTTCGAACAGGTTCGGCCGGGTTGGCTTGGTTGGGTCGCGTCAAGCAGAGCAGAGGCCGCGACCGGCGGCAGACGAGCTTTTTGCAGGCAGCGTAGAGAGATTGACAAGGCCAGCCACAGATCCATTGAAGGGGCTTCCACATTGATGAACTGGGATCCCCATGGGGACCTTTGGAGGGTTCAGTGACTTGATTGACAGGCAACGGTGTGTTAAATTGGGATTGGATCAGGCGATGGATGACACGGATACCTTGGGTTTAGCTGCATCGAAGGCGAGGCCAAAGGTCTCGGGTACAAAAATGGTCATCCCCCAACTTTTTCCTCCCTAGTGGCCTCAGCAGGTCATTGTCTCTCCTGCTCCCACGACATCGCGTTTGAAACTCTTCAACCTTCATGCTTGTAGACCGCCCTAGGACCTTACAGGGACGACAAGCCCGAGTAACTCGTCGAGCGTGCGTCAAGAGCATCATATCCAGTGCCTTGTCCAAGACTAATGGGACTGGTGAGGGGAGAAAACCCCACGTCGGCCTGGGCAAAGAAATCTCCGGGCTTGCACCCTCTCCACCTTCTCTGCCTTCTCCCTCCTCAAGTGACATTTGGTGGCTCTCACGTCACGCGCCTTTCCGGAACCCCTACCACGAGGTCTCTGTGTTCCAGCAGTTGGCCTCTACCGGAGCTAGGGGCCCTACATAGGTTTAGCGGTTCTTCGGGTGTTGCCCCGGATTTCTACTTCATGAAGCCATGCACGGGAGGGAATCGGAGGGGCCAGGCTGCCAGAGTTCGATGCACGGAAGAGGAAGAAGAATGGTGAGAGGGCGAGTTTTTTGAGCACTCGAATTGAGGAGAGAATAAACGGCCCTCAGACTAAACTAAGCCCAAAAAAAAAAGAAGAAAGCAAAAGAAGTGAGAGAGGGACTCGCCTACAGACCTAGAGAGGGAGGCAACCTGGATCACAATTCCCCAAGGTTCGTGTCGAGGCTCTCCTTGGGAACCAACCCCGGCCGCTGTAAAGAAGCAAAACATCCCCTCACCCAAAGATATAAAGAAAAACAAATGGGCGGGAAAGACAAGAGAAAGAAGAATGAATCTCGCGGCCCAAAGTCGCAGGAGGGTCCCCTTTCTCCCCGCTCCCCGTCCGCAAAGACCACGCCCGCCGACGAGGAGGCACGAAAGTGGGGTCCGCTTTGGGTCGTCCCCGGCCGGCGGCGTCGAGGGGCGCCTGTTCTCCATCCGGCAAGGATCCTTGGCTGGCGGCTCCTTGGTCCCGGATGGCCCTAGCTCCCCTCCCCTCCCTCTGAAGGGGAAGAAAAAGAAGAAGAAAAAAGAAAGGAATAACGCCATCCCAGCGGAAGCAAAGTCGGCGCGCGCGAGTGCCTTGCAACTCTGCCACTTCTTTTCCGTCGGGGACTACGTAGTCTAAAGGGCGGCGGGATCATCATCCCCATCACCCAGCCTCTGAGGGGAAGTCGCGTCGCGCGCACCCTCTCGTGCGTTGTCGGTCACATGGCTTCCTTCCGGCACACCTTTCCGCGCGCTCTGCCTCTTCGCCAGTCTCTTCGTTCCCATCCATCCTTTTGGCTGCCACCTACCGCACGCTCAAGTGTGACCCCCTTCAATTCCCGGCCCTTGGCAACATCTCTGGCCTCTCTTGAACCAGTTAAACCCGCGATTCTCGAGTCTAAAATCAAGCATGTCATCCCGACCACGTTGATCCGTAGGCCGCCTAAAATGGATTTCCTCGACTCGTTACGCTAGAGTCTAGAGCTTGAGTCACGGCTTAGTGCCTAGAAATGCCTAACGCTAGCACCAAATACCTCGGTACAAGCAAGCAAAACAACAAGAGGTCACGAAGAATTCCAAAGCCGTGCTACTCGTTAATGATTTATCCAGCAGTCATCCTGACTCTCTCCGTATTCACATGCTTGTGGTCTTGCGGGGCACTCTCACCCCCGATGTCGGATACTGACCGACATGATGATGGCTTGGGAATTACCAGCGAGAGAGGGAGAAGAAGAAGAGGAAGGAGAGGAAGGAGAACGCAAGAAAAGCAAACAAAAGAGCGTTGCTCATTTATATTCATTCTCTCATGAAAACGCCAACCCAGTCGGCTTGCCCCTCCGCGGCCGACATTCACGTCCTCACCCTAGCTTCACTAAGCAAAATTTTGACGACCACTACAACTAGCAGTCCCCTTTTGACGCGCGCGCCTTTTCTTACTTCTAACAACACCGCCTTCTGCTTCCGCTTCTGTTTCTGTTTCATTCACAAGAAAATCAATATTAGGCCACCGAGCCAATCACCAGCGCGGCGACGTCCTCCTCCTCCGCCCTCACTACAATCTTCATCGTGACGCCAGACTTGGCAGAGAACGCCATCCTGATGTTGCCCACAACCCGACCGCCATTCACTGTCTTGCCTAACAGCTTGAGCGTATGCGTTGTCTGGTTGACGGGCACATCCGTGCCTTCGAGCGCTTGTAGAGAAAGAGCCTTGATGAGCTGCTCCGTGGCGTCTGTTGCATCGGTTGCGTTAGCGATCCAAACGAGTTTGCGGCCACAGAAGAAGGGAGGGGAAAGGGCCAATAGGTTGGGTCCGATAAAAGAGAAAGAAAAAAGAAAAAGAAGAAAGGCGTCAACGTACCTGCTATGCTCTTGACACCGCTGAGCTGCATAGTCTCTTGAGCCTCTTCGCCCGAGGCGCCCACCTGCTCCCAGATGTGGTTGAAGTTGCTGGCAAACGCCGGCACAACGTAGTCGCTGCCGGCCAAGTCAAACTCGCCCACCTCATACTCATCATCGTAGCCGCCGTCCTCGGGCTCGCCCGTCGACGGGTCAATCTCCTTGCTAGTAAACTTGAGCACGTTGGAGAATTGCGAAGTCGGGAGCGATCCCTCGCCGCTGACCTTGCGGAACGCCACGTAGATCTTGCCAGGTTCGTCCGTCGCCAGCTTGTCCGCGGGGATGATGAAGACTTCCTCCATTCCTCCTCGTCGCCAGGCGTCGCTACCACGGACACGTTCTCCAGCACCGTATCCGGCAGCGTGTTCTTGACGTCGTACTGAAGGATGATGTGCTCCTTGAAAATGTGCTTGACTACGCTCACCACATACTCCGTCTCCGCTTCCGTGAGCTCCACAGGGCCCGCCGACTTGAGCACGCTGCCAAATTCCTTCATTTCCGGAATCTGCATTAGCTCCTGCGCGTACCGCTGAGCCGCTGCCGACGCCGAGGCTGCCGCCTCTGCTCCCGATACGTTGGCCTTGGCCGCGCCCACCTTGGGCGGCTTGAGCGACGGCGTGGTCGCCGTAAGCTTCTTCGTCCTGTCTTCAGCGTCGGCCTGCTCGCGCGTGACAACAGGAATCTTGGATATATCGAAAGGAGCTTCAAAGGTCGATTTCTCGTCCGAGGTGACGTAGAGGACCAGCTGGTTCTCGAAATACGGAAGAGAAAACATGCCATCTACGAAAGGAGGCCGTGCACGTCAGCAAACGCAAAGGGGGTTCTGGGGGCAAGGATGAAAAGCGGGGAGAAGGGGATCCGCTTAGGTAGACTGTAGACATACCACTCTTGACAAACTTCTCTGCAAGCTCATCCTCCTCATCCTTCATGAGGCTTAGGTTAAGCGCCGCACGATCGCGCACCTCGTCGTCAACGTCGTCCAGACATCTCGTGAGAAGCACGCGCACGCTCTGCTTGACGTCGGGGTCCTTTGGCCAACACCAAACTTGGCCAGCGCGGTGACAGCTGCAGCACGGACGATGGCATTCTCTAGTACGACGCGGTTGTAGATGTAGCGGATGTACTTGGTGGGGTGGGGCGTCTTGGGGCCCTCGAGGCCGATGAGGTGCAGGATGCGGACGGCCAGCTTAGTGAACTCGCAGTCCTCGATGAACTCGCAGAGGTGGGCGAGCGCCTCCTCCTTGGAGTCAGGGATGAACTTGATGAGGTCAAACATGCTCTCCACCACCGCTCGCTTAAACTCGTAGCCACCATCATCGCGGAGGATACTGCTAAGGAAGGTGAGCATGCCTGCCTGCTTGCTGGGGAACTTAAGGCACAGTGTGCGGATGGCCTCCACAATGGTGATCTTGAACTCGTCCGTAATCTCCGACATGAAGCTCGAGATCTGCTTCATCAACCGGTCCACGCTGGCCTCGTTGCCCGTCTTAAGGAGCGTTGTGATGGCAAACGTCGCGATCGACCGATTGCTGTTGGAGATGAGGAGCTCGATATCCGGGTTGCACGGGCTGACGGCATTGGGCTTGAAGGAAGCGATGCTGTGCAGGATGCGGAGGGCTGCAAACTTGGTCACCGCCCTAGGCGATGTGAGGAAGAGTTGAAGGACGTGCACCGCCTGGGACACCTCCTCATCGGTGACGTCTCGCATGTCGCAGATGGCCTTGGCAGCCTCGAAATTGACCATCTCGGACTTGTGTCGCAGCCACCCCTCAAGGAGCGTCATCATGGGCCTGCGGAGCGAGGCATCCTCTTCAGCAAGCTGGGCCGCCAAGCGCACAAGCATAACGACGGCAGCCGGGCTCTTGACAGCACCCGCGGCGCCAAACTGTTGGACCATCTTAACCAGAGCCATGCGGTCGTGCATGCGCATCTGGTAGAGGAGACCAATGGCATGGTATTGCGTCATGGTCGAGTTGTTGGTTGGGAGCTGGTTGCCCGACGAGAAGCCGAGCGAGAAGCCACCAGACGACTTGGTGGACGCGGCGGCCTCCTGGGTCTCGCTCTGCCATCGCCTGACAACTTCCCTAGCGATGGGGAGGAGGTGGTAGGAGGATACGAGGGCGGCGGAGGAGACTGAGGGGTTCTTGTCCACGATCGCCGTCTTCATCACTCGCTCGATCGATTGCACTGTGGTGGCCTAGGAAGCGGGAAAAGATGCAGATGTTAGCTCCTGCACTTTCTCCAAGTCCAAGGCTGCACGTCGTAGGTATTCGAGAAAAAGGCCCCACGGCTCCCTTTGCAGTTTACTTACATCAATGATACGACACAGGGCTCGAATGGCATTGGGGCGGTAGATGGCCTCCGCGCCACCACCAGTGTCCTTCATGATGGTGCTAGTGACCATGATGATATCTTCCGCTGAGTTGGCTAGCTCCTTGATAACCAGGTGCACCATCTGACGCAAGCTAGCATCTTTGTTCTGGAAGAGCTTGGAAATGCCAAAGAAGAGCGTGGTAGCTTCATTTGTGGGGAACTTCTCCCCAATGTAGAGGAGAAGGGCGATCTTGGTCAAGAGGATACGGCATTTTCGGGGTTGAATGGGGGAACTATTAAAAAGTCTCGCTGTTTTCGCGCGCAAGCTACGTCAGAATCGGTTGCTTCAGGTTTATTAGGGGGCGGAAGGTTGCCCTTTGGGGGAGGGGGATGAGTAGCTTCGGGTCCTGCCGCATCACCGCCTTCAGCAATGCGTTGGGTTCCGACCACATACCCTCTTGGAAGACCTGAGTGCGATCGACCTTGACGAGGCCTAGGTCGGCATCTTCGTCTTTCTTGCCGTAACTCATCGTGGGCGGGTGCAAAATAGGGGGTGTCCTCCGTCTACGGCGTCGGGGATCTTGAGGTGAGGGACGTTGAGTGTGCGGGTGTCGTCGTGCCCCTTGGAACCACGTTGCGAGCTGGATGCCCCCAAGAGGACCCCAGTCGATAGGGGCGGTGGTCCCGTTGGATCACGTGATAACATACCTCCTGCCCACTGGGCAGTACCGAGTAGGTCCTAATTATGTTCAGCGGAGGAACAAGGTTGGCAAACTGGTGTCTCAGCCATCGCTCCAGTGTTGGACAGCTGGCATCATTCTCTGGAGGAGGCTGCGAGCTCCCAATTGACCCATCGATCCATCAATTCAATTGATCAAGGATTGAACGCATCGTATTAGGCCACTGCTGTGTCTATCAATTCCATCACATCTCTCACTTAGCCATCAATGATATCAAGCCACCCTCCACCAGCCACAGACAGGCGCAAAATATTCCCCCACTCAATATACTCCCCCAGAGGCCAGGACTGACAACCTCAAGGCATATCAAAACTGAATTCCTATCCCCGACCGTGAACCATATATGTAAAGAAGATTGTCACTGCTGTCTCGAAATTATGCAGTCTTGCTTTTTATTCTTATTCTGGTTCCGGTCCACCACGCGCAGTGTTCAACCAGGAGCGGCTGGGCTTCGGTGCGCAACTCTCATCCTACTTTCAAGCAAGGTCGCTGAGTTTTTCAAGCCTTGGAAACTTACGATAAGGACTAGCCTGCGACCAATGGACCAGTTTAATTGATATCATGCCCACAGCACCAACTGGACCATCTGTAAAGAATAAGACACGGCATCGAGCGAGCCGCCCTCACCTCCGAGTCCTGCTTTTGAGCAGGAGCTATTTAACAAGGGGTGGGAAGTGGAGGGGATGTCATAGGACTAGCCCTCATCGATCAATCTTATGAGATAACGGAGAGAGGGCAAGTGTGCAAGAAGCTTTTTCCCATCATGATTCCTTCTTTCGTGATACCACACCAGTCACTCAACTATATTATGAGTAATACGGCGAGCCTTGCCTTGCCGGAGCTGGGCGGAGAGCGGCTGCCTGGTTTCCCCAGCCTGGAATCTGGCAGCACCTCACCTCAGCTACCACGGACCTCGATGTATTACGCTTTCGTATGATCAATGCGCTCGTCTTTCGGCGAAAGATTGTGGGAGTGTGGAGGGGGCCCTATGGCCGTGCTGATTGGTGGGCGGGTCAGAATATTCCTGTGCTGTACGGAATCTTTCAAGCCATTGTTATTTTTCTTCCTTTCTTTTTTCTTTTTGGCCATCTGATCCTCCGCACTCCGCGGTACACAGCGTGTACTCATCTAATAGTCCAATGCTTCCCTGCATGGCGACGAAACTCCTATCGTATCGATGTGGGTGGAGGCCCTTTATCCCGCCCGCGCGGGAAAGGGAAAAAGAGACCCCGCCATCCCGACCAACTCTGCGAACACCATGTTTTCTTTTGGCGACAGCACACATAACATGGGGGCTTGGGTTGCCGTTAAAATGACGGATCCGCCAATCCATTGGACGTCCAGACGGTTTGTATGCGGTGGCGTGGGCATGGGTGTGCGGGCTGGGTGGGTGTAGTATAGGTTCGAGACAGGCGCCTAGCACATTACGCATGTGGGTGGCCGATGGAGGCCGTGTTTGTACCAATTTTCATTCCATCCCCATCCACATTTGATGTACTTGCCCTTGCGGGCTTATGTGTGTCGCATCGGTCCAGGTTGTCCTACCGAGTTTATGTCTATAGGTGCTTGCTGCCACAGCTGCTTTCAACCCCACTCACCTCGTGCTTTGAGCTCGTGCTGAACCAAAACAAAAAGATCGTTGAATTTTTCCATTTCCAGGCCCAGAGCGTAAAAGAGAAACCCGAAAAAGAAAAGAAAAAAGAAACCGCCAGGTCTGCAGCCAAGGTAGTATGAAAGGGGCTAATCTCCACTGAACCAGGTCCGGAAGGATCAAGTTTCAATGTGTCCGAAGTGCAGCAGCGCGGTTGTCCTTGTTATCTATGCTGATCAAATGATTTGATGGTAGATGCTGGGAAAGTCGCAGACAACCATTGGCGTTAGGACCAAAACAGCTCCCGAAAATTTCGCCTAGCAGGCTGATGCAAGTTACCCCGCCATGGAATTTTTTTCTTCTTCCTTGTCCTCTCTTTTTTTTTTTTTGCCCCTCCATCCGCGGCTCCCCTCGCATGGCTGCTTTGTAGGCATCGATGGACCACCCGCCACGTACCTTGTTGGCTAGTCACATATGAAAATTTCTCCTCGAGGAATCAAGGACATGTCCGAGGACTAATAAGAAGAGAGGGTCAAGAGGCAAAGAATACCTTAACCCGTATCCGGTATATAGCACCCACTAGCGAGGGGCGTGGGTGAGCGTAAGCAGGGAAGGAAAAAAAAAAAAGCGGCGCGATGGAGGGGTCAAGTCGCTCGCTTTGCCACAGTGGCAGTCTCAGGTTTCCCCACATAACGGTCCAAAATTTTGGCTTGGAAGGGACTGTGCAATGCGGTGATTCCAGTCAAGAAAACGGGGTGACTACCAGTGTACAAGATCCACTACTTGCAGCTTGATTTGGCCTCTGCCTGTTACGTGAGTCACGGAAGCACTCTTGTTAGGCGCGGTCGGAAACAGTTGGGCATCTGGAAGGTACAATCGAGGTACAGCATCTCCTCACGGCCGAGATTTTCAAGCTCATGATTGGGCAATATAGAAAACGTCCCACTGACTTGCCCTAAAGGTGGGATGGTGGTTTCCGGCCAGGCCTGCACAAAAACTTTGAAATCTACCCTCCCAAAAAAAAAAGTGCGTTGCCCCTCACTTGGCTCACATCTGTTTCCCCAGTCGCCTTTAAAAACACCGTCTCCCTCTTCTCCCATCCATCATACGCTTTTGAACTTTTCTGATCGTCTCGCACACCGAGGATCGATTTGGCATCCCAATCTGCGTATGTTTTTCCTTTTTCTATCAATATCATCCTCGTTTTCATCTCGACGAGCTTCGCAAGCTAACTGTCCGTCTCAGACTCCCTTTGAACCTACTTTTCATTTTTTTAACCATCTTTCAAAACCGTCACCATGGGGTAAGTTGCGAGATAATTCTTTTTCCTCTTCGCCGCAATCCGGGTGTTTCTATCATGGCTGTGATGGACTTGGACCCTATGCTAACTGTTTTGTAGTAAGGACGATAAGACTCATCTTAACGTCGTCGTCATCGTACGTATATCCCATCTTCACGCTCGCGTTGGTATGAGCTCTTTTGGTAATAACAAGCTTGCTAACTTCAAACTTCTTAGGGGTATGTGTTCTTTCCATCTCGGATCGATCAAGCTTTCTAGACACTAATGTTATGTGCTTCAGACACGTCGACTCTGGCAAGTCGACCACCGTAAGTTGGAATCATGTTCCTCGACGCGAGGGTTTCGCAACCCCGCGTTTAGCAAGAACCTCGAGATGATAGGGCTAACGCATGTGTGATGATAGACTGGTCACTTGATCTACCAGTGCGGTGGTATTGACAAGCGTACCATCGAGAAGTTCGAGAAGGCAAGCATCACCATTTCATTTTTCTTTCTCCCTCAATTCCCAGATCAGTTGTTTTTTTCTCTCTGAAGAAAATTTCTCGTTTGTTTGGCGCTGCCCTCCTGGTGGCCAAAAATGCGCCTCTGTTCCACCTGTTCATTTTTTCCCATCCCTGCTTGGTGGGGTTGCTCAAGGTCGCCCCTCCATTCTTGCCGTTTTAGGCAGCGGGGTACCAGGGCCCCACCTGAGCAGGATGCATAATTTTTCCCACCCTTGGCACTCGGACCTATTATGTTATGCATCATGACGGACATATCGACAGCTGCTAACTCATCGTACAGGAAGCCGCCGAACTCGGCAAGGGTTCTTTCAAGTATGCCTGGGTCCTCGACAAGTTGAAGGCCGAGCGTGAGCGAGGTATCACCATCGATATCGCTCTCTGGAAGTTCGAGACCCCCAGGTACCAGGTCACCGTCATTGGTAAGTTTTTTATCTTCTGTTGATGTCCCTGCAATCTATTTTCGACAGGAAAGACTCTTCTCCTCCGAATAGAAAGGCTTTGTTTGGCCTTGAGCATGCATGCTGACGTTGCATTCCGCGGCCTGCAGACGCCCCTGGCCATCGTGATTTCATCAAGAACATGATTACTGGTACCTCCCAGGCCGATTGCGCTATTCTCATCATTGCCTCCGGTACTGGTGAGTTCGAGGCTGGTATCTCCAAGGATGGCCAGACCCGTGAGCATGCTCTCCTCGCTTTCACCCTCGGTGTCAAGAACCTCATTGTTGCCATCAACAAGATGGACACCAACAACTGGTCCGAGGACCGATACAAGGAGATCATCAAGGAGACCTCCAACTTCATCAAGAAGGTCGGCTACAACCCCAAGGCCGTTCCCTTCGTCCCCATCTCTGGTTTCCACGGCGACAACATGCTTGCTGCCTCCACCAACTGCCCCTGGTACAAGGGCTGGGTTCGTGAGGTCAAGGGCAACACCCTCTCCGGCAAGACTCTTCTCGAGGCCATCGACTCCATCGAGCCCCCAAGCGTCCCACCGACAAGCCCCTCCGTCTTCCCCTCCAGGATGTCTACAAGATCGGTGGTATTGGCACTGTGCCCGTCGGCCGTATCGAGACCGGTATCATCAAGCCCGGTATGGTCGTTACCTTCGCTCCCTCCAACGTCACCACTGAAGTCAAGTCCGTCGAGATGCACCACGAGCAGCTTACCGAGGGTGTTCCCGGTGACAACGTCGGTTTCAACGTGAAGAACGTCTCCGTCAAGGATATCCGCCGTGGCAACGTTTGCGGTGACTCCAAGAACGACCCCCTCTGGCCGCTGCCTCTTTCCAGGCCCAGGTCATCGTCCTTAACCACCCCGGCCAGATCGGTGCTGGTTACGCTCCCGTTCTTGACTGCCACACTGCCCACATTGCCTGCAAGTTCTCCGAGCTCCTCGAGAAGATCGACCGCCGTACTGGTAAGTCGGTTGAGGCCAACCCCAAGTTCGTCAAGTCCGGCGATGCCGCTATCGTCAAGATGGTTCCCTCCAAGCCCATGTGTGTCGAGGCCTTCACCGACTACCCCCTCTCGGTCGTTTCGCCGTCCGTGACATGCGTCAGACCGTCGCTGTCGGTGTCATCAAGGCCGTTGAGAAGTCCGCTGGTGGCTCCGCCAAGGTATGTTCAACTGAAGCCCCCAACCCTCCCAATCTCGCTCGCTACAGGATACTAACTCTGCCACACAAAGGTCACCAAGTCCGCTGCCAAGGCTGGCAAGAAATAAATTGCCCCACCCCAAAACACCCTCCGCTCCGGCGGGTGATCTAGCGAAGCACTTCGCTCGTCGGACATGTACTCACTTCTGCGATGGCGCTATAACATCGTTTTTGCTCTAAGATGCATGAGCACTTTAAGGACTACCTCGTGCCAAGAAGTACGAAGGGAGATGGTATAGTCCGGCATCTGCAGACAGAAAGGTTTTTTTGTCATGTGCTTTAGTACCCCAAAAATAGAGCCTGAAGAAGTGATTTCTCGCAAGAACCTTTTTATCCTATCTCCTGTGCCGTGCCCTCTTTCGCTTGATGGTGTGACTTGCTTTACATCACTTCACGACATATACCGTCCTATCTACGTGAGACCCAACTTATCCATATCGGTGACTGTTCTACGCCTCGTTCCTCGCCTGCGCCAAGAATACGCCACGTCTGGACCATCTGCGGTTAGGTCGCTGCAGCTTGCTACTGGCCGGAACGTACAATTAGCGACCTAGCACACTCTCTCTTCCTCTCGCTATTTGGGGGTTTGATAATTTTTGTAGTTTGCGTAGTATTGTATGAGATGGCTCTAGGGCCTTGTTAGGGATAAAATCGTCTATATAAAGTACAAGTGATGGGGTTGTTTTAGAATACATATATCTGCGCCCGCTCTGCGTCTTCTTTGGACTAGTCTAACGTTTTGCTATACTGCGACGCTGCCATTCTACAATTATGCACCCATGTCTTCCGTAGAGGCGACATGGTCCACGGGCCGGGTGCCCGTCCAGGGAAAGTACGCGCCTCTGGCAATCTGCGCTACTTCTTTAAGAAATGCCCTCTGGAGCTTGCTGTCGCTGGGGCTCGCGCTCGAGGAGTTGCCGTCGTCTCCCGGAGCAGGGGCGGCTTCGAGCGAGAGACGGCCGCTTCGGCCAGCGCGGTGGCCGCCCTCGACGGCTGTGTAGCGGAGGATGTGGCCCCGGAAAGGGATAGAAGCGGTGGTATGGAGCTCAAGGCCGGCGAACGTATAGGCGACGTTGACGGTCTTGGCGGCGGGTGGGAGAGCTGCTGAGCTGTCCGCTTGCGTGACTTCTTCTTGGGCTAAGGGCTCGGTATGGGACGGCGACAACGATGATGGGACGGCGCCTGACGCTGATTTGGCATGTCTGTTGGCGGGGGCGCGCGTGAAGATGGCAGTGGGGAGAGCGATGGCTAGGCTGGCCGGGGTGCGCAGGTCCCCAGCGGCGAGGTCGAGAGCAGCGGTCTCGACGAAGGCGCGGAGGCCGTGGGCAGCGTCGAGGGCGTCAGCCCGCATCTGGTGCTGGATGGTCTGGGTGATCTCGACGTCAGAAGGCGCAGAGGGTATCTGGATCTTGGCGCGGTGTGTAGTAGGAACGGCGAGGAGGCGTTTCTCGGTGTCGGGCCAGGAGAGGGTGCCGCTGAGCTGGTCAAGGCGGAGGTGGAGATGGAGCTCTAGCGGGGTGGGATGCGACCGGCAAGCTGGGGCTGCTCAATTGTTTTGGGGGAGAGGAGGAGGAGGAAGAGGAGGAAAGCCCTACGGTGGGTTGGGACTGCGGGGAGGGGATGAAATGGAGGATCATTGTGGTAGAGGCTGGCGGGGCGGCGGGGGATGGGTCCGACTGTGCGGTCTCTATCTCGGGTTTAGAAGGTGAAGTGGAATTCTCTCCGTCTGCGGGAGGGGCGATGGGCGCGTGGTGCCCGTTCGATATAGGGGTCGGAGGCGGAGGCGCCCAGTTGGTTTACGTCTGGGATCGGCAATGATGGATCTCTGAGGGTGGTGAGGACGGAGAGCGGGGGAAATGGGGAACAGGAGGCCAGGAAGGTCATTCCCGACAGACAGCTGGATAAAGGGGGAGGCTCCGTCCGCCTCAAACGGATGAAGGATGTGGCCAAAGGTAGCGGTCGTCGTGATCTCGTGAGGCTTCCAGTCAGAGGAGGGAGCGGCAGGTAGGTCCTCCCCACCCTGACGCGGAGGCAGTGCCAGCTTCAGGACGCTGGGAGGGATGTTGCCACCGTCGGTGCCGGAAGGGTCAGCGGCTGTTTTGTGACACGGAAGGACCTTCCTGGCCCATTCCTTGTGCCTGTAGTCCCACGGCATCTTGCTGTAGTCGCCCGTGTGGCGGGCGAGAAGGAGGTTCTCAGGCGCGGCGAGGGCCCGTCGCCCGTCACAATTTTGGAGACGGTGGTGCCCTCTGCACGGCGGGAGGTCGCGGCGTGGAGCAGGCGGAAGACGACGTCTTGGGTCTTCTCCAGACCGGGGTGGCGATCGTCTTTGGCTGGGGTGAGACGGGAGACAAGAATCTGGAGGTACGAGTGTGTATTAGCAAAAACAAGATAAAAGCGGGTAGAGGGGCGTAACATACCGCGCCGGTGGAAGCGCGAGACTCGGTGGCGGGTTTAGGGCCGCGGGACTTGTATCGCAGATATGTGTTGGTCAGAATGCTTAGCTGGCGTAGATCCTCATTCTCAAGACGTCGCTGGCCGAGATGGCTCAAGGGAATGCTAGATTGGGCGATGCGGGAAACGAAATCGTTAAGGCGGGCGAGGACGGTCTCGCATTTGGAGCGGGTAGCGAAGATGTGCACCCGCCCGTTTTCGGGCCTGATCTTGATACTTGCACCTTCACCTAGCGACCTTTTAATGGCGTTCAAAACCTTGTTTTCGACTAACGTGGTCAGATATATGTTAGTGAAATGTTCGACCAAGAGTAAAACGAGTGCAGCTGAGGGGAAAGTCATAGATGGGGATAACGCAAGGGGAAAAAAGGAAGGAAGCGAAAACAAGGAAGCGAGGGGAAACGTACGAAGCAAAAAGTTGAGGGTGTCCTCGTCGGCCTTGATCTCTAGCTCGCCGATATAAGGGGCCTCTTCCATAACCTTAAGATCCCAGCAGAGGCGCATGATGGCCAGCGCCATCCTCTCCTTGGTGGTAGACCCCAGGGGTAGTCCATGGGCGGCACCCAACTCCACTGGGCCTGGATCCACTTGAAAGCGGGAGCGGTGCGGTGCCTCGCCGAGGCGGAGTGGCTCGTCAGCGGCCGGATCAGGGCGTCGCGCTCCTCCACGGACGCGGCGGGCTTCCCGGTGATAAAGTGATAGACGTAGTCGGCGAGCTGCCGGACGGTGAAGCCGTCCATTAAGGTGTTGAGGAGCTCATCGAACTCGCGCGCGAGGAGGTCGCGGGGCTCCCGGGGCTGGAGCTCAGTGATGTTCTGGCGCGCTTCTGCGACTGTGATGTCCCGCTTCTGCTCCGCCAGGCTCTCCTCGAGGTCAAAACCGCTGAGAGGCGCGGTGCCGCCCTCATTGTCTTCTGCAGCAGCCTGGGTAACCGCATCATCCCTCCTCTTCCGCTTTTGCGGTCGCGCAGGACGATGGTATGGCCGGGCTGGCCGAGTATGGGCATGCCCAGGCTCGGCGCCTCGATGTCGAGGCCGCGGGTTCGCGGTACCCTCTCCTTTCGCTTCCATTTTTGTCTAGATCGCGTGATTGTTAAATCGGGGGTTTGGCCTTCCTCGCCCACTATGGCATCTAAAGGCGCCCAGCTTCTCGCGGTGGCCGTCGTGGGGTTAATGGTGTCCGGTGGTGGGAGGGCACCATCCTGTTGTTCGAGTGCTTCGCCCTCGGCTGGGGGCTTTTCGGTCGGTTCTGGTGTGACATCGGCGTCAATTGGCGAATTGGTCGAGAATCGTAGGCGCGGGAGCTTGAGGGGGAACGGAGTCGGCGCAAGGAGAATCGGACGCACCAAGGTGCTGTTAAGGGTGAATTGGACGCGACATCTCTGGCATACACGGCCTGCATACGCAGCCCTGGAGAGCATTGATGACGGTATCTTACATCAAACGGAATCTGAAGGAGAGTGATTCTAAAAAAGAAGGGAGATAGAAAGGAAATGGAACGGAGAAAAAAAGAAGGCGCAGGTTCGGGTCTAATAGTATGTCTTATCGTGAGGGTGAACTGTCGGTCTTTTCTTTTTTTTTTCTTTCCCTTTGGCTTCGTCAAGCGCAGAGCTGCTGGTCGCAGGAAAGGTTACATTCAGATTTCCCTTTGCTCTTATCGATAAGGATCAAAGATTTTCCGGTCTACAACGCGTCGTGCACAGCTCGCAAATGGACTTTTGTCGCGTTTTCACACAGTGGGGATTAACAGACCCCTCCAAACTGCTTGTGCAATTCGAGATCGATAGCAAGAGGCGCGCCTCTATTCACTACGACCCCCTCTCCCCCGAATTGCGTGAATCTTGAATCCCTCCAAGCCTAGCCCTTTCCTCAAATCAATAATCTCGTAAAAATGCCACCTCCGCGCCGCAGACGTCAGGTACTAATTGTCCCGCCTTTGTTCCTTTCTCAATCTCGTGCCCCGCGACCGCTAACATGACCTGCCTAGGTTGAGTACGACGACGATGAGACGGAACCGGCCGAGGTCTCGATTCAGCGCAACCGCCGCGACCGTAATGAAGAGGACTCCACCGGCGAGGCGGAGGATGACACAACCATGGATGTCGATGAGAGACCGGGAAACCGGCTAGAGGATCAGCTCGCGACAAAGCTCGTGCGGTATGCGCTGTCGTGTGAGTTCTCCAGAACACCCATACGGCGGCAGGCAATAAGAGACAAAGGTACAGTATCCCAAAGGAGTCACAAAATAAATACATCTATCTGACCTGGCCTCATCCTAGTACTTGGCGAGCATCCTCGGCTGTTCAAAAGGTATTTGCCATTGCGCAACAGCAGCTCAAAATCGTTTTTGGCATGGAAATGTCACAGCTACCTGTGAGAGAAAAACTCACACTAGAGGAGAAGAGAAAAGGTACGATTCTAACACTCCCATGGAAAAGATAGAGGGGAGAAGGGAACTGGAGGATAGTATTCACGTGCTATTATCTCTGTTTGGTATGACATGACTAACATGCGCTTGCAAAATTCCAAAATGTATAGCTATCAGCAACAACAGCCAAGCCAAGGCTACGGAAACCTGGATCCTCGTCTCGACGCTCCCCAAGAGGCTTCAGGCCCCCTAATCATCGTACCTTCCAAAGCTCCCACTGCCGAGCTAGAGGCGACCTACGCTGGGTTTTACACCATGGTCATCGCCCTCATCGCTCTCAATGGCGGGGAAATTACCGAACAGAAGCTCAAGCGCTATCTCAGCAGGGTGAATGCTGATAACAAGCTCGGGTCGGAGAAGACCGAAGAGGTGCTAGCCCGGATGGAGAAGATGGGATATGTCGCAAAGCGGGTCGAGAACATCTCGGCCGATCAGGACAAGAACGTCAGCTGGCTCGTGGGCCCGAGGGGAAAGAAGGAGGTGGGACCCGAAGGGGTTGCGGGCATGATAAGAGAAGTGTTTGGAGGTTCAACCCCGGCCCTCGAGAAGCAGCTTGCGGCAAGCCTAGGGGTACAGGTCTCGGAGGTGCAATCGGAAGGGGACGAGGAAGAAAACAATGAGAATGGGGAGGCTGATGGTGAAGGAGATATTCATCCCGCGGAGGAGGAATCTCGACGGTCAAGTCGACGGACGGCTCGCAACCGCCATGCGGATGACGGTTGAACATCTCGTGGGACCGCAAAATTGCGCCTTGTGGGAAGCGATAGATGCCCAGTAGGATCCAAACCAGTAATGATACCCATGTATAAACGACACTTCCTTCTCCAGTACTCAGCATCTTCCCTACGGCGATCTTCGAGCTGCTGGCTTTGGCCTATGGCGTCGGTAGTGTGCAGCCCTGATGATTTATTTGCGCTTCGGAAGCATATCGGCAGGAATCGGGATATCCTCCTCCCTCGGAGGAGGGGGTCCACAAGGTTGCAGCATTTGCTTGAGAGACACCGTACATGTTAGCCTGACACATGCGCCGGACTCGAATTGATGAGTGGGTTTAAAGCCGGGTCCTCGCTTACCCTGATGAGACGGGCGCGCGCAATGTGGATAGGCTCGTTCTCTGCCGTCGCGACGTAGTTGATCAGCGGGGGTGGCCGACGATGGACGAGAGCGTGTCGCGGTGGATGTTGGTCCGCCACTCCCAGCTTGACGTGTCTGGGTGTCCAGTGCCGATGTACTTGGCCTGTAGGCGCTCAAGTTCCTGCTGTGTTCGCAGTTTGTCCGCCTGTTGGGTCAACGGTGTTAGCAAGAAATGGCGATGGGGGATGTGGGCTTCAAAATTAAGGGGAAACGAATTTACATACCATGATTTCTGTCTTTTTCTTCTTCTTTTGGGGGACCCTAAAATTCCTGACAAATGGCGGATTCCTTACCGAGAAGGGGGATGGAACAGGCAAAAAGGGAATCTCGAGGTTTGAGAGCCAAAGCAACACAGCAGGAAGGACCCATCATTTTTCAAACGTTTAGAGACTTATGTAATCACAACGACAACTTTGGCTCACCTCTCTCGCGCTCTTCTTCAGCCACCAAGCAAACATCAACGAGTCGCATACACCAGCAACCCATTGTCATTTAGTTTCTTGCTTTCTGAATACTACTGTTACGGCGCCACCTAGAACCCAAGAGAATAAGGCGCCCAAAATGTCAGTTGACGCTGTCACGGCAGCGCCATTCCCGGAACTACAACCAGACTACACGCTCCCCTCATCAAAGACTGGACACCCACCCTTCAACGGCTAAGAGAATCGCGGCGCAAATGTGCGGATCGCATTAGCGCCGCAGTCGGGGCGTGTCGCTCATCCTGTGGTAAGAAACACGTCATAGAATGCCAGGAGCACTACGGGGCGGTCATTGATGCGGTGCGCGACCGGTACTTCGGCGCGGACGTCGCCGCCAACAGCGGCGAGTGGTTCTCAGGCCGGCGGGACTTTCTCGCGGCTCTGGCGCACATTCTTGAAGAGGCCCGGGAACTCAGGGCGCGGCTGTCAGACGTGGAGGCGCGAGTGCAAAAGGAGAAAGCGGCGTGGTACCGCGAAGTCCTTGTCCGGCACCCTTACTTCCTCGATGTCGCAGAGCGGTCTGCGGCGTCCACAGCGGCGGCCGGCAGCGGCGTGAATGAAGAGCTAAGCGAGCTCACCCGCGCTCTAGCGGACGAGGCGCAGTCGACCGAGGACCTCGCGCGCGTCGTGCGCAAGGGGATCGGGAGGGTTAGGGGCCGCCCGATCAACGTGGAAGACTATCTCGCGGCTGTAACGGGTGCACAGGCAACGGGTGACGTGAAACGGGCAAAGGAGGAGGTGATCCAATTCCTCTTCGAGGTCAACGGCTCCGGCAAGATCCTTGAGGGCTCGGAGAAGTACGCCGACATGTACCGCACCACCGATGACCTTTCCATCGAGCGCGTCATCGACGCAATCGACGCCGCCCGCCGCGCCGCCACTGTGGGCAGTGCCCCGGGCGCGCCGGTCGATAGGCAGGCGGGGCCGACCCTTGGCGCTGCGACAAGCGCAACCTCTGTCGAGGCGCAAACATTCACAGAACACGGGAGGCGCAGGGAGCAGGTCCGCCGCGCGCAAAAGGAACAGGACCAGAGGCGCACCGCGGCGGAAGAGAAGCGGCGGCACATGGACGACCTCCAGCGGGCGAAGACTGCTCATAAGAAGATCCAGACCGCCAAGTCGGAGAAGAAGCACCGCCAGCTGCCCCGAGAACTCTACGACACGCCGCCCTGTAAGGCGTGCTCCAAGACGGTGGACCCCAAAAACTTGATTGCGTGCTCGCTATGTCAGGTGCTCGTGCTTATGGGACTGCAGCCGGCTCAGGTTACCTACTGCTCCACCGAGTGCTTCGAGAAAGCCCATGTAAGTCACGGCCCATTCTCCCTCCTTCCGGCCTTTGGTTTTTTTCATTTTTCATTTTTCATAAAGTTTCTTTTTGCTTTAATATCCCTTCTCTCCCACTTCTTCCAAGCCCCTCATGGACTTGTAGACCTATCATAGCCTTGCGGCTCTCCGACTGACTCGTTCATCCGCCTTTAGAAGAACCACCTCGAGGACAGTCACACCTGCGAGGCAGGCAAGTACTGTATCCAAATCCGAGGCGCCCAACACAGCGCGGTAGCCCCCGCCAAGGACGCTGCCGATCTCCCCGCCGCAGGTGACGAGAACCCCGTGTCTGCCTATGCAAGGAGTGCGTTAACCAGCTGGGCAAGGCCGTGACCTACTGCTCCCTCCCCTGTGCTGCCTCCAACCTGAAAATGCACCTCGAAGAGGCTCATCGCGCCATCTGGGACGATGTCAAGTCCCAGAAACAACATCAACAGCAGCAACAGCAACAGCAACAGCAGCAGGAGGAGGAGCACAAGCAAAAGAACGAGAAGCACCGGCAGACATGTCAGGAAAAGGACCAGCCGGCGAGCGATGCTAACAGGACCCACGAAGAGGAGGCTGCTGCCGCTGCGTACCTCTCTAACGTGGACAAGTTCGTCGAGAGCCTGGAAGACGTTTTCCAGTCTAGGATCGGAAGTAAACTAACAGGCAAGGAGGTCAAGGTGGAATACCTTCCGCCCGGAAAATAACGTTTTGTCTCCTATTTACCGCCCATGACCCCGCGTCATGGCTGAGGTGAAGTGCTAGGCTCTTGTATTTTCCTTTGTCACGTTGGGGGCTAGGGCGGGCGGCTCATGTACTACATGTATATATAACGTATTTGTTTCCTCCACTCATGCTATGATTATCGAGGAGCTCGGCGTCTAGAGGTGGGAGAGAATTGCTACACAATCTAGGCCTGCGGGATAATACCCATAGGGTGCGTCGCAATATCACTAAAGTCATCCATCCAATACTCTCTCTCCCCATGTTCAAGAACCAGTTCACAGGATGCCTGTGAGATTAGTGTATAATCGACATCAACCAAAACAGTACTCTGGGAGCAAGACTGAAGTCAAATGGGCACCCACGGCACACTCTAGTTCAAGGAGACATCAAGTAGAAAAGTGATATACGGAATACAATTATCAAATCCTCCACTATCAGGAAAAAAAGAAAAGAAGAAAAAGAAGAGGGACCTGCCACGCAACAAAAGAAGAAATGACGCAAACATCCTCCATCCATGACCTAGCAATGAAAAACCAAGACATCCCTTCAATGAAACCCTAGTACAGGTAGAGAGCGCAAAAGAGAGGAGAGGCATAAAATGCAATAGAGCTGTTGTTCGTCACCCCTCTTTTACCCCCGGGGCCAAACGCCGCCGCGCCCGCGTTTTGCACAAGGTTGATCAAGTAAAGAGGTGAAAAAGAGAAAAAAGAGATATCCCATGCACGCCACCCTTCTCTCTCCACCCTTTCGCCATTCATGCCCACATGACTCGATGTTCCATCCATAGAAAAAGTGCTGAAGAGCGACGACAATGAAAAAAAAAAAAAACAAGTAGAAAGAAACAAAGGCACACAGGAGTCCGTGTTTCCCACAACTAAAGCCCATCCTGCCCATACACAAGTGCCGGATGTGCATCATAGTATCTGTTTCCCATGAAAAGGGCCATGTCTGGCTGCCATTTAAGCCTCCTAAACCTGCAAACCCGGAAATGCGAGATTGAGTGCATGGTTTCAGCCAAATTCGTTTGATTGACCCTGTTCGGTTTTTTTGGCCGTACTGTTTTGGTTTTCCTTCCTGAGAGGCAATGCATTTTTGTCTTGAACCGTTTGTATAACCTGCCCGGTTTTTGCGCCAATTTGCGCCCCGTTGCGTCCATTTGTTGATTATACCGAAATAACAGAAGAGCGGCCATTCTCATCATAACGAGAACGCGTACAAGCCTCCGGCGATATGGAGGCCAGGCTGCCACCGTAGGGCAGGTGCATGGTCCCGTTGGGTTCTTGGTGGGCCGATGTGATGAACCTTCATCTTCGACCACATCGACAAAGAATGGCATTGAGTGTACATTGCATGACATCCTCCGCGTCGAGATATAGAGATATATGGTTATAATCATAGAGGTGAGGGGAAAGGCAGAAAGAAATTCTGGGGCTAACGAGGTCGCTGAGAATAACCGAATAACAGACAAAAACACATAACCCCGTGAAAAGTGCGAGACAAGAGAGGCGCTGCTGCATCCTATGCATGGACTAGAACCTGAGATGAAAGCGTATTTCCCATCCTTCCCACGCGCCAGGCTATACTGTATGTGTGATGGTGACAAGACAAGAGAAGATATCAACCGTGGAAAGAAAAGAAAAAGATGATGGAAGGGCTGCGGAGGGGGCTTGCTGAGATCGAGCTCGCTAGCTGTCATTAGGAGACCTTAATGATTGCATTGAGGACCCAAACCGTGCCGCTGAAAAGGGAGAGAAAATGGAGAAAAGAATAGCGAAAAAAGCCGACAATCGAATAACGTAGGTATAGGAGTAGGAGGGCCGAAAAGAAAGCAGGCCAAGGGGATAGGGGTGGGGGTTAGCAGGATAAGACAAGGCAAAAGAAAGACGCAAAGCCAACACCGAACATATCCCTCGTCTAACTCTTGGGAGTCCAGACCAGGAAACTCGAACAAGTCTTTCAACTCCAGCCAATTCAAGAGCCGTCCCAAACAAGCTTGTCAAGAATATCAAAGTTGAGCCGATGTGCAGGGGGAATCGTGCTGATGGAGAAAATCAAGGGGTTATGACCGTACCGACCCCGAGCAGAAGCAAAACAAGTGTAGTAAGAGGTCCACGAGCTCCGTGCCCTTGCCATACGATATGCGAGACTCGCAATGCAGTAACAAATGCAGCCATGATAAAAAAGTACCACTCCGAACGCTGAGAGAACGAGCAGCTGCCAGGGCGGGAGGGAATGAAAAAGAAACACAGTAGAACCGGAGAGGAGGGTGCGTGGGCGGGTTGGTTGTGTTCAAAAGGGACACAGTCCCGAAAGAGCCAGTCCGAGTGTCTTGCAACGTCGTTCGTCTAGGTCTGCCCACCCACCGACGTTCCAAGTATGCGCGCCTTCATTTCCCATTCCCATTTCCAGCTGTCCTCAGCCTTGACATAACCTCATTTCTTTTTTGGGGAAAAAAATGACCAAAGAAAAACGCCGAACCCCCTCGATTCCGATGATGAACAGCTGCGCAATGGATGAATAAGAGACGAGGTGTGAAGAAACAAAAGGGGGAATCAACGATCGCTGTAATCAATCCGAATACAAGTTGCGGTGGCCTTCGGTCGCCCCACCGCCATTGGGGAGAACGCAAGGTGGTTTCGGTAGTCTACAATCCCATCATATGTGGGAGGTAGTTCGATGAGGCGCTGTGTACGTTGGCAGAGGGTCCGCCGGCAGCCATGGTAGGGTTATAACCCGAAGTGCTCCAGCCATGTCCTGAAGAAGGAATCCCTGAAACATTATAACCGTGAGAACCGCCGCCTGGCCCTCCCCCATAGCCACCAAGCCGGCTCGCAGATAACCCAGGGGGCAAGGACAGACCAGGAGGTGGCCCGCTGGCGGTTGTGAAGCCATTGCCAGGCCCAGATGCCATTCCACCCATACCGCCCATGGAGTTGGAGCTAGCCGGCGCTGCGGTTTGGCCTGAGCGGACGCCTAGGGGTTTTTGGAGAAACTGAGACGGATACCGCCCTTGACACTGTTGTGAAGAGGCTGTCCATAAAGTTCGTGGAGAGCTTTCGTTGCGAAAGAGACATCCTCGAACTCGACGAAGCACATCGGACCGTTTTGTTTAGTACGGAAACAGAGGCGCTTGTATCCTCGCTGCTTGGAAAAGATAGCCTTGAGTTCCTCCTCCGAAGTATCTATCGGAAGATTGCCTACATAGAGTGTGTTGCAGGGCGGGTTCTGGTCGGCAGGGTTGACAGGGGAGGAAAATTGTGTCTTGGATAATGCGAATTTAGAGGGAAGTTCATGGGTCGCCCGGGGCCAGTCGCCATCAGGGGTGACATGGCGCTGGGGTGTGTTGGGATGCTGCCGATACCGGGATGCCCGAACTGCGGGAGAGAAGAAGGGCCTGATGCGGTTGTACTGAGGGAAAGACCGGCCATGCGAGAAATGGGAATCTGAGGAGCAGTCGCTCTCCTTTGCGCCGTCGCGCCATTTTCGGCGTAAGCAACGGGATCTTTCAGGAGTTCTCCGGTTTCGTCATCGTCAGCAGCATCGTTGCTCTTGATCAGAGACTTCCCCGACATTCTGGTTGGCTCAGTTAAATGGTTTCCAATTGGAGACTGCGGCGAAAACAAGTTTTGGTAAATAGCACTCGATTCCGGAGTTGGCAACTCGGTGGCAACATAGGCCCCGCCATTGAGAGGGGGAAATGTTGTCCAGCGACTGAAACGCGCCGCCGGGTATGAAGCGCGACGTCTGTCGCGAGTTGACAATGGACGATGCCGCAGAAGATGACGCAGTGGAGCTGGCCGATAGCGCAGCGTCGGAAAGAATCTCGACAATCATCTCGGCATCGTTTGCAATGTTGGACTTTCCGTCGAGCATGGATTTCGCTTCCAGAGCGCCGGCCGGAGTTTTGAAGTTCATAATCGCAGAGCGGAAGCCAGAGTCGCCCGACTGTTCGATCGGCAAGACTTCGACGCTCATTAGTTCCTTCGACCAGACGGCCATCAATCGCAGTTGCTCCTCCGAGGTGTTGAGCGGAAGCCGGCGGATAAGAACCGATGAGGCACCAGGTGGCGATGGCGTGTTTCCAAAGGGAGTGCCAATGGGCTTGGTCGTCGCATCGCGTTCAAAGGAGTGCGCAGACTGCTTCATGTGGAAGGGAGCCTGGCTTCCGACGGCCGGGTGGAAACTAGAGGACTGAGAGAGAAAGGCAGACCCAGCCATTGCTGTCGATTTGGTATTATTTGAAGGGTTTGAGGTATACTGGTTGGTGCGAGTGGTAAGGCCAAGAGGAAATTGTGATTTGTTCGACGCGATCGACGATGCGCCCGTCACACTCTGCTCACCGTTCATTGCCATCTAAGGGGGCACATGCGCGGGAGGAGAAAACGCGATTCGACGACGAAATGATTCTCAGGAAGGCGGGATCTTAGCAAGCGCAAGGGTGTAGCGAGTGGGTAACGCGAGTTGGTCTAGTTGTCGAGGAAGGGCAGTCGACCGTGGGCATGAGCCGTCGCCGGAGATGGAACAGGTAGAAAATCGGGGGCGACGTGTTAAAAAGGTTGGTTTGGAAATCAATTTGTTTCAAAGAAACGTCCGCGAAAAACGCGCGAAGGTGGTGGACTTCGAAAATATGCTTCGATGACGCCTTTCGGTGCGGCGCAAAAGATGTTGCGGGAAGGGGGAATGCAGGCTGTAGCGGAAATGTTAGAGGAGGAAAAAATGGCTTGATTGAAAAGTTGGGGGTTGGAGATGAAATTTGGTGGGATGGGGGAGAGGGAAGAGGTGGGAGGATGGATTAACGTTGTGCAAGAGGTGCAGGGGGATGGGCGGACAGCTCATTGATGGTGGTTTGTCGCAAAGGAAAAGGGAGGAGGGAAAAAAGCACCTAGTTAATAATGTCGTGCTCAGCGGGTAGAATAGGCTGGCGGATGGGGGAGGGCGCGACAAGACAGAAAGAGGAGAAGGCGAGGAATGAAGGCGGGTGGTGTGCGCTATGTGGGACATGAGACTCGGGGAAGATAGAGACGGACGAAGACGGGGGTGAGAACACAACCTGGGAGGCGGGCAGGTACCTGACTGGGCACATCAGACCTGGGGACAGTCTTGGGATTAATCACTGATCAAGTTGAGTATGGGGGATGAAAGGAACCGATGAGAAGGGGGCTACAAGATACCACTCCAAGAGGATGATAAGAAGGAAGTTACGGCCCACTGGTTTACCTTGCAGTACTTTGGAAGTGCTTCCTCACATTACAAACCGTTTACCTCGAGCCCGGGTGGAACATCGCTGCCGATGCTGTACCTGCCGGTTGCTTTTTGTTGTGGCAGGGGACTGGCGAGACGAAACTGAGATATCGGGGAGGCCCTCCCACTCCAGACGAGAAACAGAGAAGGCACCTTCGGCCTTGGTCATGTCATTCGACAATGTACCTTGTACCAAGGTACCATTTTGTACCCCTTCACCGGTGATGTACCCTTCATACTTCAACACCGGTTCAACTGAGGGACGGAACACAGTGTGATACACTATCGTGGTCAACCCAGCTAGTCTACGGGAGGCGACCAGGGGTGACATCAATCCGGCATCCTGTCGGCTGGCGTCCAAATCGTGAAGGCGCGATGCGACGATTTTTCTTTTCAAATTCCAAGCAAATGGTCCAGACGCCTGCGTCATACCGCTTTCGCGAGATAGCAGGGCGACAGCCGACCTTGTCTTTTCGTTTCTTTTCTTTTTCTTGTTTTTTTTTTTTCTTCTTTTCTTTTCTTTTTCTTTTTCTTTTGCGCCCGGGACTAGCCACCTGGTTTTATTTCAAGATGCAAGAGGAAGTTTTTGTCGCTGAGTGTTCAAGACGCGTCGAGTATGAGTGTGCGGCTATTCACTTGTCGAAACCCCTGGATCGCTTTTATGAATAATACACTTTTGGACACAATAGACGTGTGCATGCATCCCGTGATCGGTACATCTCGGGAAAAGACCCAGCCCTGTGGACGCCCGGTCTCTAGGAATCAACTGATTCTATCCCCAGAATATCCCAACCTAGCAAGCAGGGGTCGCCGTGAAACTACACCAAAGCCAGCCTCACTTCCTTACCGATATCCGCCCCATCATCTTGGAATCATTATTTAACTCATCTCGCTGTCTGTGAGTCTATTCTCTTCTTATGTTAAGGGGGTTTATGGGATATGGTGGGGAAGGCCTTTTTCCCTCTTTGGAAACAGCCTTTGAAGGCAATTCACCAGAGCAAGAAATGGTTAAGGCCTTCCTCAATAAACACTTTGAAATATAAGGTACTTGTCTAAGCCCACACATAAGGTTTCCATCCCACCTAAAAAGAACAGAAGAGGGGAAAATACCCTCTTCGCCATTTATATATGATAGATAAAAAATACTCGAAGCCTGTCCTAGTTTTAAGAAGATATAGAAGCTTTGACATTTTTGGTGGGCCTCGAAGCTTGTGCAAGAATGTCGGTTTTCCATCCATTTGATCCATTGTATTGATTGGCATAAGCTAAGCCTAGGAATGGCCTCTTCTTGGTTTCTTTTCCAACCGAGAAGGTATTCCCTATCTTATCAGCGTGATACCTTCCAAACCAAGACAGTACACCTCCCTAACATGGGACTACTGTCGAAATCTCTAGATGGAAGAAACAGGTTGTCTATTATTCTCTAGCGAGATTTGTCCCTCCTATCGAGTTACCCCAGAAACTGCTTCTTCAAGAACCAGTACACCAGAACAAGAGTGTAGTTAAGCAGGACGGACGAACCCTGGTTCCTGTTTCTTTTTCCCTTCCTGTAGTTTCTCGCCTTTTTGCCTGGAAGCCTCGGAAAATCCCTATTCTGTTAAATACTTAGAGAAGACCGCTCTGTCAGTGACCCTCGCTTTCGGTTTGTGGGACCGGGTCTATTATTTACGTAGCCCCCAGATGCAAATAACTCGTTTTGAAGTCCTCAAGAAATTCTGCCCCAGGTTTTCTCTGATTCCATCTCGTGCTGTGCGACTCCAAATGTCTGGTAGAGTTGAAGCTACCGTCGCAAAAACGCTTCACGACCCTTCACGTCGCAGATGTACGCGCGGCCAGTTTCGTCCTTGGCCGGATAGCCAACAATGCTTACACAGATGAAGCGGCGGCTTTATCTTTTGATAGATGGGATCATGTTGCGGTCGATGTGTGTCGATCTTCGCGTCCATTCCGTGGTGGATTCAAATGATTGTGGACGTAAGTACCAGCCAAAATCCCCACGCAGAACCGGCCCCGTTGGTTTGCCAGGCTTCAAAAGATGAGGCTAAGGGGGTTAGTTCGCAAACGCACGCCGCCTAGTCTCGGGGCTCAAGGACTAGAAACGCGCCCCTTGAGTAGGTAAAAAGACGAAGAATACTAAGAGAATCAAGAACAAGAAAAGGAAAGGCTGTAGGACCAGAGCCTGGCAAGTGGGTGTTCACCTCAGATGATGCCCGTCAATTGTTCGATCCGTAGATGGATGGATGCCTACCTCCCCGCTCGGCAGCCTGGCGAATAAAGTTGCGCCGCCTCAACTGATTTAACTCGAGGGTGTATATAGCCTTATGGAGGGTACTGTACGGCACTGCATGCACATTCGATGTGTGCGGGTGGGCTGTCGGCAAGAGGCGAGTGCAGCGTGCAGGTGGTAGATGAGGGATGCAGGTGGGTACATCACTTGCGGGTAAAGGTCGAGATAGGTACAAGCAGTAACTCATAGGACTGGACCAACAATAGGCTACATCTCGAGATATTAAATCAACACAGACCAATGATATGCAGTCTCTAGACACCCTTTCAGAAGGGCAAAGGACAGGGCGGGCGATAGTGAAGGTCTGACCCTACCAAGGTACTCATTGAACATAAAGGCAAGAAAGAAAGAGTCACCATAGAGGGAGCAAAAGAAGAAAGAAGAAGGAAGAAGAGGAGGGAAAAAAATAAAAATATGAAAATAAATAAAAAATGGGTGGGGGAGGGCGGGGAAAAGCAGGTGATGTCTGACAGCTGCCGCTGGCCCAAAAGTGTAATTCGAGAAAGGTCAAGGGGGAGGAGGAAGTCACTGAGACCGAAGTTTTTGTAATACCAATTGCCATCAACTTTCCTTTGTACAAAAACTCCGCCCTAGTTCTTGATGAATCAAGCCCCAACCAAGCCTTAGGAACTTCGGCAGAGTCCTTGTACAAAGGCCGGCAAGACCGGGTCACCACATTCAATTACAACTTTCGCTTTTCAGCCAGTGACACTTGTCACCCATCAATGAATGGCACATCCCACTAGCCCTAACAGTTCGTGCAGCTTGGGAGGCAAAGTTTAATGGGTGAACTTTACTCTTACTGCGTGTACAGCCTGCCTCTCAAGCTTTCCTCCCCTCAAACTTGGGCGAAGTAGCCCCAAGTCCGGTGATGAGGGAGGGATGCTCGAAGGAGGCCCGGGAATGCATTTGGCGCCTCCCCCATTCTAACACCATCCATCGCGACTTACATAAAAGCACCCACTGCCTCATGTCCGAAGTGCTCCCTTTCGGCGATAGGCACGACGGACTACATCTATTGAGTCTTCCAAAGAGATACATCAAGTTTCTAGTTTCCTATGCGCATGAGGTCGGATTCTCAGCTCTCGCTTTCAGAGCCTCCCTTTTGGGGGAGGGGGAAATGATTTTCGGGGAAAGCAGCACCTCTCCTGGACTGAAGCGGCCCGATGACGATACCTGAGACCCCGCTATCGTCATTCTCTCGGCCCGTACCACGGTGCGGGACCTCGCCGAGGTGTTTGAATGAATCTGCAGTTAAATGACCCGACTCAAAATTGACCGATGCTTATCAACGCCGAATCGCCTCGAGCAAAGAAGGCGGAACCTAGATGGAAGCAGCGGGGCGGGACTTAATAGTGGTCCATTATTACATGGATCCATTGTCTCAAATCAATATGGTGGTTTCTGGCCTGAGCCTGGAGTCCCGTCCGTCCCGGGACGAGGACCTGAGAAAGGGCATATGCCAGGTTGGATTTTTGGAGATCGAATGGGAACGCCTACCTCTCTGGTTGTCTTTTCGTACCGCGCTCTTGCCCAGGAATGCTGCGTGTTAACGAAGTAGGGTAGCGAAGGAAAGAGCTCACACATAATACATATGCAGCTGCCCTGCGGAACGCGGAAAGAGCCAATTAGGTATTGCCATGGCATGCCGCAGCAGCTTCCCCGGCGCCGCTTACCAGTATCTGGGACC